ACCGATCGTGGTGATATATATCTTCTTTTCCACATCTTTACTTCCAACAAGGCTGCAAGCAACTATAATTAGAGTTGGAAGTAACCAGAAGAGAAAAGATTAACTTTATAATGCAAGATAACAATTAATAGACGACTTAGAAGGTTGCAAATTATATAAATCATGAAAACAAGATGATGGATGTGAATTCCAAAGGACTAATGTTTGTAAAAAAAAACTAGGCAAATAAGAATGTTTTAAGTATTTAGGATTAGTCACAGTAAAAAGATGAGACTTAGTAAAATGACGAGTAACATAAAAATGAATTTAAGTAGATAGAACAAGAGATCCAAGCTCTTTAGAGCAATGAATATTATAATGTTTATAAAAAAGAGAAAGAGAAGCAACATAATGGTTGGATGTGATAATGGTTGGAGGTTGGCTGCAAGAGCAGGTACGACTATGTTTACAATGTGTTTTGCACCTTGTCTAAAAGATAAAGGACGTAGTAGGAAGATCTGCCTTTAATATGGTAACTGTATTCCATACAAGAATGGATTTGACCACGTTTCTGATAAGGTGTTCACTAACTGAATGATCTTTAACCATTTTCTTCATTAAACTTTTTCGGTTCCAAGAAAATTAACCATTGACAACCTTAATCAATTAAGGAGGGTATTCCTGGGGTATTCCTCCAAACAATTAATGTGATTTATAGAGATAAAAAATCATATCCTGAGTAAGAAAATTGCAAGAGCGATTAAAAGATGCTACCTTAGCAGATGTTAATTTTTCAATGGATTCGAAATATGGTTTTCAAGAAAGATTGGAAGTAATGCAGATGGCTCATCAAGAACATTACAGTACATAAATATATGATGATCTAGGTAATTGTGATAACGCTCAGCTGAAGAAATTGTTTGAAATCAGCTAAGTGATAACTAAGCTGATTTCAAAAGTTCACTTTTTTAATAAAATATTTTTAAACTATCTGAGCCATCTTATAAAGTATAAAATGCCTTTCTAAACATATTGTGCATATTAAAAAAATATTTATATATGAGATGGCTGATATCTATTCAGTCATAAATTTTGAAAAATTAAATAACAAAACTAATCTTAAAGTTTGGATATTAGACAATTAAAACTGTAATATAAAAGTGATTAAAATAGTAGAAAGAGTACAGTCTTAAGTGTGGCATAATTAGAAAAATTTTATTTTAATGTATTTTTTAAGAGTATTAAAAAAATTAATTGTTATTATGCTAATACAAAAAGTACTAGGAAACATTTCTTATGGATATAAGGGCTAAATTAAAAGATCTCGCAGATCTTATAATGTTTGCTTGGTCACAGCCATTTGCAAAACTTTATTATATAAAGCATTGCAAAAACAACTTTCAACAAGTTTCAAAAACAAAGAAGGTAAAACTAACAAAATAGGAAGTTAAAACAAATTTAGGTTTTAAAAAAAAATTAATTATTTGTATAACTTGAGCACTGTTTATTTTTTTGTTTACTTATGGTGGTTGTTATTTTCAACAATGAAATTGGATAAGGCTAAGCAAAAAAAAAATAGTTTAAAGTCGACATTAATAAGAATGGTTTTCCTATATTTTATTTGATTAGTTATTAAATATAGGGAAGCAAAAATATAAGTTGCTATTTGCTTGTAAAATATATTTGTATGAAATATTTATAAAGCAAGTACATGATGTCCCTATATTAATATACCTATGTAATGCATTCATATATTTTTACTTTTAACTTTTTATTTTATAATTAAACTGTTTGTTCATTAGTAAACACATGTTTAGCTTATTTGGATAAGACATATACTTCAACACAGAATTTATGTGGCTCGAATCCCACCACTATCCAGTTTTTTATTGTTTTACTTTTTGTAAATAAAAGATTTTTATGTTGTATGTTTTTAAATGATTTGCATTACTTTACATTCAGATTTCTTATACTATTTCAGCCTCTCAGTGTATTTACTAAGGTGCACACACATATATACATAGTTTTTAAGCTTCAATTAGGCCATGCTGTGCGAACATTTTTCACAAGCATCCCCTATCTCTTAGTTTTGTAATTTTGGATACCTGTTGCTTTTTAATATATTTTTTAGCATTGTAATTTTGGACACCTGTTACTTTATAATATATATTTTTTTATTGCAATCAATTTCAACTCCCTATGGCCAAGAAGGCCACTACAGACGAGGTGGCCACTTAATTGTGGTTATACCCTCTCTCAACTCTATAACTCCACAACACGAACCTTGACAGACAAGGCCACTGTGCAAAGAAACAAGTTGAGCGCAGTACTACTATGGATGTGGTGGGGATCCAACTTGGAACCTCCCCTTTGATCTACTATGTTATTGATGAAATATACGTAAACAATTATTAATAATAATTATTAATAATTGTTATCCAGTTCTTAATAATAAATAATAATACTTTTTTTATAGATTTCACTAATTACATAGTAGACTACGAAGGAGTGGGATTATATAACTAAGTGCGCTAAGCCAAATGTTAAAAAGCAACTGATATCCAAAATCACAAAGAGCTAAAAAAAATTAGGAATAATTAATGTACAGGAACAGGGGAAAGTTATATGAAAAATTAGGACTATGTAAACGATAAAAGATTCGAACCCCAGACATTCTCTGTATGAAGTAAACACCTTATCATTCCCAGTATGATGCCTTATTTATATACGCTAAACTTGCGTTTATTGAAAAATAAATATAATAATATAATAAAAGTTATACATAAAAGTATATTCATGGATTACATAGATGTATTCATATAAGGACAAAATATACTTGCTACATGAAAGTTATACAAATATGTTTTACAAACAGATAGCAAATTATATTATTGCTTTCCTCTTCAAAATTTATATAATATAGGAAAATCATTCTTATTAATGTTGACTGAAAACTGTTTTTTTTTTGCCTTGCTTTATCCAATTTTGTTGCTGAAAATAACAATAACGCTAAAGAAACAAAAATATAACATTATGCAAATTATTTCAGTAATTTTTTTTTATTTAAATTTATTTTTTGTTAATTTAACTTTCTTTGTTTTTGAAACTTTGTTTTTTTCTGTAATTCCTAATATAATAAAAATGTGCAAATTAAAGTGAATAATATGTCTAAAATATATTACTTTTGCATGGGCATACAAGACAAAAAATTGCACACATCACCTGAAAAGGTTTGTAATAGTGGAATATGTTGTCATTATTATAAAATGAATATTTTATGATTGTTTATTTATGCTTTTTTTTTTTAAAAGATATTTTTAAAGAATCATCTTTTAAATTTTTTGGTATCTTTTGAATACTCTTTTGAAAATTTTCCAAGAAACCATTTCCTTGCTCTACTCTTTTAATGATTAATAAGTTGCCATTTTTATTGCATTTCTTTTTCCAAATAATATTTAAAAGTTATTCATTTTTTTAAAAATATATAAAATTTAGCGCAAACAAAATTTCCATTTTTCCAGCTTAAATTGCCCAAATTATATAGAAAATTTTATCATAATTTTAAAAATTATTTCAAATTAATAACTTTTAAATATTATTAGGAAAAAAAACAATAGAAATGATAACTTTTTAATGGAATAAAACTCTTAAGAAACTTGCTGGTTTTAAAATAATTTTCCTTTAGTTTTACTATTTATGATAAAAAACATATTAACAAAAATTTCTTGGAATTTTCTTTTCAAGTAGCTCATAAAACTTAACTTACTTTACAATTAATTTTTCTAACAACAGCGAATATTATCTAAAAATGAAAGCAAGAATTATAATTCTTAAAAAATTGAAATTGCTGTAACAATTTATAATTGTTACGATGTTAAAAGTGTAGCTGTTCGAGCTTAAGATTTGTGTAAATCATTGAGTAAATCATTGTGTAAATCATTGAGCACTACAACCTCTCCTTGCGCTTGTAAAACAAAATTATTTTTATTTAGTATTGAGGAGCCATTTATCTCCAATGTTAGATATGATGGTTTTTATTGCTCCTGATATTACCAAAATGTATTAAATAAATGTTAAATTTACGTTAATCAAAATATTTCAAAGTATTCTAAAGTGTTTATAATATTATATTTAATAATATAATTGTTTTTTACAATGCCTACCCTTATTTAGTTAGACAGGCATTTTAATGAATATTTAAAAAACTTTAGGGTTGTTTTTTTTATTTAATCTGTAACAATGTTATTCAAAAAAAGTATTCAAGTTTTATTAGTTTTATTATTTAATCTGAAAATAAAAGTATATTCTTAAATTAGAGCTAAAGTCATTGCAAAGGAGAGATGTAGGAATGTGACCCCCTTCCTCCATCAATTCACGGAATATTTGCATCATTAGTAAATAAAATACGACATTTTGTACCTTCATTTAGCAATTTTTAACCTGTTATTTTAGATACAGTCAGACAGTCAGCATAATGAAATTTAGACTATTTATCTTTAGTCAGCAAATTTGAGGGTTTGAGACCTTTTTTATTTTATTTTATTTTTTGTCAGCAAAACTAATAAGGCAGAAATCCCCCCTTCCCCACCCACCATTATTCAACAACAACTCTTACCGGCCTTGATTAGAACATAAATTAATATTATTATGGTAATATTAAATTAAATGATTAATAACTTTTACAAGTATTGTACTATATCTCATCAAAATATATATTAGCTACCTTACTAAACCGTAGATTAAATGGATTTGAATTTAGCAAGAATGTTGTTGATTTAAATCAAGTTCTCTGCCTATGCACCACTACCACTTATACTGATAGTAATAAAATCATTTTTTGAAATAAACACCTATAGTTACCATTAAATGTTAGTATTATTAGCCATATTAATTTATAAAAAGTTATAATAAATTAAGAATGTTTATACTACTTTAGGATATGAAGATAATGTATTATAAATTGCGTTATGTTTTTTTAATGACAGTTTTTTTTTAAAGGTAATTTGACTGATTGGAGTCAGTGGAGTGCATGTTCTAGTACTTGTAAGACTATCAGTGATGGACCTTACCAGTTCAGGAACAGGTCTTGTGTTGGTTATTCTACTTGGAATATTCAGGATTTGCCTTGTAATGGCAGCAATATAACTGATCAACAATTTTGCAATCAAATTATACCTTGTTTAGGTATACTTTTTTGTTAACATTATTACAGTTAATTTTATATAATCACTTTTAAAGATGTGTTTTTTTTTATACTTACTTCTAAATTTGTTTATATTCTGATGTTTATAAATAACAATGATGATATGTTTGTTTTTTTTTACTTTTTTTTTTTGTGTGTGAATTAATTGAAAAGGTGAATTAATCGGAAAAAAAAAATAGTTCAATGATTTTTAAATCATATTATTATATAAAATATCTAATTATTATATATTATATCAATCAAATTATATATATAAAAGTTTTAATTATTAAATTTAAGTATAGTGCTAGGAGTAATTGATACGGTTGTTCAGCATTATGTAAGTTTACCTTTTTAAAATTTTTTACTTCTAATTTACAGTAGGATTTGTGTAGCTGGTATTTTAAGTTGAGATTGAGTTAATTATTTTGCTATAATTGTTTAGCAATTTAATATCCATTAATCAGGTAGTTGTTTGCATTTATTAGATGGTTTTAGTATTTTAGTTGGGTGAATCTGCTATTTTTAAAGAGATTTTAAGAAGTCTGAATCTCTTTTATCTTTCTAAACATAGTGGAACTGACTTTTTTTTTTTTAAAAGTTCGCAGAAAAACATTTTTCATCAGAAGATTTTATTACATCTTATTTATTTTTCATGCTTTTTTTTTTTTTTGCTATATGAACTTGTTAGCTTATTTATAGTTGCTTAGTTGCTTATTTTGTAAAGTTTTAATTTAGTAAACTTTGAATGTAGGTGTTGAATAAGGCTTGTTGTTAAAAATTGTTGATTTTTTCAGAGTTTTACCTGAATCTTTTATGTTCAAATTAAAAGATTGCAGTTCGGGTATTGCAGTTAACTAGATTTGTAACTTCAGTTCATTTGAATAAAGCCACTGTATCTCCTATTTTAACAGAACATTATGATTCTGTTAACTATACTATTAAGTTATTTAAGTGTATGTATAGGCTTAGGGCACTGCTAGACTCCAGTTTTATTATTTAATTTATTATAATTTTCTTGAAATATTTAATATAAAATTAGTTCCAGAGTGTCTAGAAAGTTTCAGTATGACTTATTTTTTTATATTCTTTTAGTATATAATTTTTTAGTGTGTGCATAATTACATTATTAAAACTAATTTCTTATTTATATTTAAAAATAATTTTAACATTAAATCATTAAAGTTGTTTTTTTTTTTTTTTTGTTTGTTTTTTTTTTTTGTTTAGGTGATTTTTTTATATTCAACTAAATTTGTTTCAAAGTTGTCTAAAACCTTTTCTTTATCTAAGTTTATATTATGCTTTTGGCACCTTAAAACAAAATTTCACTGATATTTATCTCATTTTAATAAAGTAGTTGTCTATATTGAATATACAAATGTTTTTTTTTTTTTTAAATAAGGTAATTATAGTGCTTGGAGTGATTGGAGTATTTGTTCAGCATCTTGTCAGCTTACTTCTCAAGATTTTCCAATTCAATCTCGCAGTAGGATTTGTGAAGGTGATACTTTAGGTGGGGGTTGTTTGGGCCCAAGTAATGAGTCTAGACCATGTAACAATAATATATCTTGTCCAGGTAATAAATTTGTTTTTTACTAAGAAAAAAATTTTTATAATAATAATTTTTTAATGAAAACCTTATTAACTTAAGGGCCATTTATAAATGATGTCTGTAAATATAGGCAGGGAGGTAGGACTGAAAAGATAGACAATAATAGTTGACAATAAGGAGGAGTCGTGTTCAAGTGAAAGTTTTTTTCAATTTATAACAACTTTATTTTTATAGTTAATATTTATACCATCTATGAGCAGATTTTAAATATATTTACACATCCAGTGTGGTATAAAAATTGTATGCTAGAAAACTTGTTATTCTGATTGAGATACTAACATCACTGAAAAATTTGTTATTCAAAACAAGTTCAGAAGCAGCCTTGCTTGTATCTTTAATATCTAAAATAACAATTTATGTCATGATTTTTTAAATTACCCAAAGTTCTAAAAATTAAGAAACAAAGCAAATAATAATTTAAAAATCTAAAAAAATTAAATACTTTTAGCTTTGCTTTAGAGCAAACACTTATTTAACAAACATTTATTGTATATTTATTCATACACTCATAACTTTTATTACAAATATTCATATACTCATTAACCACAACTAAAAATGCATTGTTCATTTTGGATTTAGATTAAAACTGTAAATTATTGAAATTCCACCAATTTTTTAACAAATAAAAAGTGACATTAAAAAGCAAATGATTTTAAAACCTTTTGCTTTTTAAAGTTCCTTTTTTTTTCAAGTTTTAGCTAACCACGTTCCTCTTTTTATTAATATTTGGCAAATTCCACTCCTAACCTTCCCTTTTTTTCAATTTTTAGTTTTTATCATATTTTTATATCTCTCACCTAAAACAAAATCAAAAATGTACGCCACCAACTTATTTCTGCTTTCATTAAACATTTCTTAGATATGTATATATATATATATATATACATATATATATATATGTATATATATATATATATATATATATATATATATATATATATATATATATATATATATATATATATATTTATATATGTATATATATATATATGTATATATATATATATATATATATATATATGTGTATATATATATATATATATATATATATATATATATATATATATATATATAATATATATATATATATTAGGTTGGATCGATTTTAAAAATTTTTGGAATTTAATTTGCCTGAGCTGTAAATCGATGTCTTTTGGTGAAAAAGAGCCTTACTTTTTTTTCTTCATCAAAACGGGGGTTTTAAGGTATATTTTTGTAAATCTTTTTTTCACTTGAAATTTTTTTTTAATAAAATCATTAATGATAAAACAAGCATTTTTTTCTGCTTTTTTTGAGTCCAAGCTTGATATAGTTTAGAAAAAAAAATTCAAAAATATTAGGATCCGTCAAGGATTTAGAATCCAATGAGGAACCTCAAGATCTCATCAAAATCAAAAAATATTTTTTTACTTTCATCTTATAATCAATAGACATCGATTTGTGTCTCAGGAATATTAATTTTTAAACTTTTTTTTTTTTGCTATGGAAATCAATCCACCCTAATATATATATACATTTGTATATATAGATATATGTGTATATATATCTTTATATATATTTGTACATATATATATATATATATATATATATATATATATATATATATCTTTATATATATTTGTACATATATATATATATATATATATATATATATATATATATATATATATATATATATATAGATATATATATATATATATATATATATACATATATTTATACATATATGTATATATGTGTATATATAAAGTACTGGACAAAAATTACAGCATAAATGGAAAATAAATGAAAACTTACAGTTTTTTCAATTTATGACTTCAAAATGTGATTCGTCAGTAAATATTACATGATGCTATTGATTTCGTGTCCAATCAACATAGTTTTTTTATCAAGTGAGTCTCTTCTTTATTTGAGCCTTATTTCGATAACAATGTTGTTTCTGTGTGTAACTTTTCAACCCTTTTTCTAACAAACAACAACGAACTGTTCTTACACTAATGGATTTTGCAGCATTTAACTCCATAGCAATTTTTCTACTTGAATCAGTAAAATTTATATATATATATATATATATATATATATATATATATATATATATATATATATATATATACTTATATATATATATATATACACATATATATATATACACATATATATATATATATATATATATATATATATATATATATATATATATATATATATATATATATATATATATATATATATATGTATACACATATATATATGTACATATATATTTATTTGGATTGCCATTTTTTTTATATACCATGAGATTCAGTTTGCACTCTGTTTCATTTCTTATGTAATAAAGATGCATTGAACCACATGTCAGCCATTTTCTCTTAGGAATGCTTGAAATGTTTACTGGTTGCATCAGATGTTTTGAATATTTTATTAAAATTACTATAATCAACATCTTTGTTAAAGAAACTGTATTATCTTTGTACTTTTTATAATGAAATGCATTTTATTAGACACATTCGGAGATCAGTTTCTTTTTCTCTTTAACAGGTTCTCTATCTCACAAAAAAGTTTTTGAACCAGTTTTCTACCATTGATCTTGAAGCTTAACTTTGTTTAATTTTTACAGATTTTGTTTCAAAAAGACAGCAAGATCAGGTTACTAAGATAATAAAAAAGGAAAAAAGGAACTATAAAAAAAATCAGCACAATTTTAAATAATTTCATTAAAATCATAAAATAATGTTAAAGAAATCTGTAGTCGGTAAGTTCACAAGGAGTTATTTTCCTATTTATTATTTAAAAAATTATTTTTTCAAACATTAAGAATCAGTTACCTAGAATTGTGCACTTGGTTTTACTATATTTGTGAACAATATAATATGAGGATGTTATTTGTGAATAATATCGTGAATATTGTGAATAATAGTACAAGATTTTTTGTGTAAGAAAAAGTTATTACTGTCATTTATATGGTTGACTTAAACTTGACACCTTGTATAATCATGCACTCTACCTATGAACCATTTGTTGCAATTGTTGCAATGCATTTATCAACCATGGTAGTATAAATTGCCTTTATTAAATTAATGAGTAAAATAAAGAAAGTAATGTTAAGATACCAAGATATTGTTGTGTAATGTTTTGTAAGTTATAATTTTATTTTAAAAGGTAATTTGACTGATTGGAGTCAGTGGAGTACATGCTCTAGTACTTGTAAGACTATCAGTGTTGGACCTTACCAGTACAGGAAGAGATCTTGTGTTGGTTATTCTACTTGGAATGTTAGGGATGTTCCCTGTAATGGCAACAATACATCTGATCAACAATTATGCAATCAAAATGTACCTTGTTTAGGTATAATTTTTTGTTAATATTTTCATATTTAAATTTATATGAATACTTTTGTAAGATAAAATTTGTTGTTTTATTGGGAAATATAATTGTTTTTATGTTTTTTTTGTGTTTATTTTAATTTTAGGTGAATTATTTTTTATTTTAAAATAATAGTTTTAAGATTTATTTAAACATAAAAAAAACATAAAAACATATATTATTATAGTTTTATTAATTAATGGTTAGTATAGTGCTTAGAATATTTAAAACAGTTCAGCATTATGTCAGTTTACTTCTCATATTTTTTACATCTAATTTGATCAGTGATGCAGAGGTTTTTATGCAAGCAGATTTATTTTAGAATCTGGTAAAGGTGATCATAACTAACTAAATTATTCAAGTTTTTTTTCTTAGTTGGGTGGATATGCTATTGCTAGTAGAGATAAAGAACTCTATAATGTATTATATAAATCTTTAATATAATATAAATATAATATAATCTTTCCAAATATTCTCAGAATGGCTTTTTTTTTGTGGTTCACAGAAATTGATTTATTTACAGATTTTTTACTTTGCTATACTCTCTTTCAAAAAAATCTGCAAAGCCTGATAAATATCAATTGATATAAATTTTTTTTTGTTGATTAGGTTATTTATTTTTCCTGCTGTCTTCTATTTATTATTATAGGAAGCTATGAAATTTATTTTGGGCTTTTTTCTTAAATTTTGTGTGTGGGGTGTTGACCTAGGTTTGGCATTACTAAGTGTTAAATTTTTTAGATGTTTACACAAATCTTTAACTGATAAAATCCCATTGAAGTTGTTTGTGTATGCGAAATGGGTATTGTGATTAACTAGGTTTGTAAGTTTTATTAGTAAGTTATTAGATTCAAGATGAGAGATTAAGTGTTTGCTAATTAAAGCTCAAGCAATTGCTTTATTACTATTAATAAACCCTAAGCCGTAACAAAGGTCTCTGATGTGGTCTTGGCAATGCACGCCAAAAGTACAAACAGGGACACCATCCATGCGCAACTTTGCACTGTTAGTACTTTGATATTTTACAGCTGTTGACGAAATCAGCTTCTCTGGTAGCTACCATAGAATTTGGGAAACCTAACTTCCAGCTAGCCTTGAACCTAAAAACTGAGTTTTAGAGCTGTACCTATATTACGAGATAACCGAATGAGTTGCCTAGTCATAAAAATAGAGACACAAGCAAAGCACATGCATCGAGTCAAGAAGATCCAGCATTCAACATCCTAAACTGGAAACAATGTATTAAAAATGCATCTGTGCCAGCCTAATAGATGAAGGAGTGTGAGGCTGATCAACAGATAGAATGTGTTTACCCCTTCAGTCCTTGCCTAGGAGGCCTGCTACAAGACAGCAGGACATAAAGGAGATTGTACTGGGTTACATGTTACCAGTAGCAAGATAAACCTGACCTGACATTAGCAAAATAACAAGTATAAAGACATTCAATTAAGCAGAAACTTATTTGTTAATGTTGTTAAGTTCAATTAGTGTTGAATTTTTGTGTGTTTAAACAGTTAAAAAAGTAACATCATTAACATCTCTGAGAATGTTAAAATTGCTGGTGACACTTTATATTAAATTAAGTTGTTGTTGCAACCCTCCATCTACTCTTTACCATTAACCTTGACTAAAGGCTGTTGTGCTAAGAAACAAGTTAAATGTGGTACTATCAAGACAGTGGTTTTGAACTCTAATTTCTTGTTTCAAGAAAACGCTTTACCATTACATCACCACTATATTTCATTTAGTTGATATGTATAATAATGTTTGTCTATTCAGCCTTGGTCGGAAAGCGGGTGTGATCACACTCGATAACTGACCACGGTAACAATATATAGTTGCAAAAAACTGGCCAGATTTTTTAGTACTTTTGAGAACATTTAAGTTTATGTTTTGAGAACATTTAAGTTTTGAGAACATTTAAGTTTCCTTGTTTGGCCGCAAAATAATAATTAAGTTCATTATTTTATCGTAAATTTTACAATATTTTGTTTTACGGACTTACATGGAAACATACAAACATCTTTGTGTGGAAAAATAAAAAAAAGAATATTCGAGAACACAAAAAACCCGCCAAATCTATGAATAACTAATTCTATTGGTTCAAAAAATACTAGCCGAAATTTCTAGAGTATTAAAAAATACTAACCAAATGTTCTAGAGTATTCTGTTAAAATATTTTTAAAAATTGTATTATTTAAGTTTTGTTATGTTTTTGTTGAGATTTCTTGCATAAACTGTTTTAAGAAACTATCAAACTGAACTATTATTTTATTACTATAGCTCATTCTTGGAGCCACATCTATTAAGCTATGAATGCTATTAAACTAACATTTGTTTACAAAAATAAATGTTTCAAATTTATATTTTTTAACTTGTCAACGTTTTGTAAATATATTATAGATTTTATTAGTATATTCTTATTTTTTATATACAAGGGATGTATTTTTTAAGTATGTAATGTATTTTTATGTATGTAATGTATTTTATGTATTTTTTTATGTATGTAATTTTATGTGTGTGTATTTTATTCAAATGTAATCTTTTAAAGCAATTTGTGCGATTGATTTTGTAAACAAAAATAATTTCAATAATAACTGCGTTTTCAATGATATTATTAATAATCTTCAAAGTTAATACAAATAATTTTAACCACATATCCAGTTTCTTCAGTGAACCCGATAACTGATTCTTTCCCTTAAAAAAGAAAAGTTCTTAGAAATTAAATTAGAAAAGCTCTTAGAAATTAGTTTACTAACTTCAATTATTTTTGCTTCAGCAATTCTTACAAACTCATTATACTAAAACTTAAAGTTACTCTTTTTTGTTGTAAATACTAATTAAATTATAAAACCTACTCATTAAACATCATCAGCGGTATTGTGAAGCAGTTCCACTTCCTCCTCACTAAGTAATTTAACGTTTTTATTTCTATGTAGCTAATTGAATTTCTGCAGATTTTTTCAGAGTTTTACCTGAATCTTTTATGTTCAAATTAAAAGATTGCAGTTCGGGTATTGCAGTTAACTAGATTTGTAACTTCAGTTCATTTGAATAAAGCCACTGTATCTCCTATTTTAACAGAACATTATGATTCTGTTAACTATACTATTAAGTTATTTAAGTGTATGTATAGGCTTAGGGCACTGCTAGACTCCAGTTTTATTATTTAATTTATTATAATTTTCTTGAAATATTTAATATAAAATTAGTTCCAGAGGGTCTAGAAAGTTTCAGTATGACTTATTTTTTTATATTCTTTTAGTATATAATTTTTCAGTGTGTGCCTAATTACATTATTAAAATTAATTTCTTATTTATATTTAAAAATAATTTTAAAATTAAATCATTAAAGTTGTTTTTTTTTTTTTTTGTTTTTTTTTTTTTTGTTGAGGTGATTTTTTTATATTCAACTAAATTTGTTTCAAAGTTGTCTAAAACCTTTTCTTTATCTAAGTTTATATTATGCTTTTGGCTCCTTAAAACAAAATTTCACTGATATTTATCTCATTTTAATAAAGTAGTTGTCTATATTGAATATACAAATGTTTTTTTTTTAAAATAAGGTAATTATAGTGCTTGGAGTGATTGGAGTATTTGTTCAGCATCTTGTCAGCTTACTTCTCAAGATTTTCCAATTCAATCTCGCAGTAGGATTTGTGAAGGTGATACTTTAGGTGGGGGTTGTTTGGGCCCAAGTAATGAGTCTAGACCATGTAACAATAATATATCTTGTCCAGGTAATAAATTTGTTTTTTACTAAGAAAAAAATTTTTATAATAATAATTTTAGATTATTAATAAAAAAACTAATGTACTTAGCAAATATAAAAAAATAGTTTAAGAATATGTTTTATTTTTATCCATAAACAAAGTATACATGGTACAACATGATATAAACCTTTAACATATTTGGAAAATAATGTGCACTTAGATGCTTTTGTAAAGAATAGATTTGACTCTCATGGTTGTATTATATAAGTATATTATGTCCCCATTAACTAATTATGATAGTATATACTTGCTTATGCATATGCAATAAAATTGTTCTATGAATCACTATGTCTAGCAAACTATGCTCTATCAAAATCTATGGTGTGGCTAACTCAAATTTAAATTAATATCAAATTTTAAACCTGGCTTTCACATTTGAAGTTTTTTAATGAAAACCTTATTAACTTAAGGGCCATTTATAAATGATGTCTGTAAATATAGGCAGGGAGGTAGGACTGAAAAGATAGACAATAATAGTTGACAATAAGGAGGAGTCGTGTTCAAGTGAAAGTTTTTTTTGAGAAATAAGTTCTGGAACAGAATTTACCAATTTAATGCAAAAATCAATTTAAATCTTGTCCCAAATGTCTTTAATTGCATCCTTCAAGTCATTTGTGTTTTTGCTAATTTTGTAATTTTCGAGTTTTTGGTCAATAATTGACCAAAGATTTTCGACTGGATTTGCATTTGGTGAAGTGGGCAGCCATTCTAAGAGCTGAATATTCTTCATTGCAAACCATTCCAGAGTTTTTTTTGCTTTTTGATACGGTGCGTTGTCTTGCATAAAAAAATAATCTTCAGCTTCAGAATCAAGAAGAGTGTCCATATAGTCAGGTAATTCAGCAATAACTTCTAAATAACAAGAAGCATTTAAACGACCTTAGTAAAACCTCAATAAACCTATTCCATTTGCTGAAAAACATCCTTATACAGAAATAGTTCCAGCAACACCTTGTGCTCTTGTTGTAAAGTTAAATAGTAAATTTTTTTTATTAGGAAGACGGCGTACAAACTTACAGTTTTTTCAATTTATGACTTCAAAATGTGATTCGTCAGTAAATATTACATGATGCTATTGATTTCGCGTCCAATCAACATAGTTTTTCTATCAAGTGAGTCTCTTCTTTATTTGAGCCTTATTTCGATAACAATGTTGTTTCTGTGTGTAACTTTTCAACCCTTTTTCTAACAAACAACAACAAACTGTTCTTACACTAATGGATTTTGCAGCATTTAACTCCATAGCAATTTTTCTACTTAAATCAGTAAAATTTATATATATATATATATATATATATATATATATATATATATATATATATATATATATATATACTTATATATATATATATATACACATATATATATATACACATATATATATATATATATATATATATATATATATATATATATATATATATATATATATATATATATATATATATATATATATGTATACACATATATATATGTACATATATATTTATTTGGATTGCCATTTTTTTTATATACCATGAGATTCAGTTTGCACTCTGTTTCATTTCTTATGTAATAAAGATGCATTGAACCACATGTCAGCCATTTTCTCTTAGGAATGCTTGAAATGTTTACTGGTTGCATCAGATGTTTTGAATATTTTATTAAAATTACTATAATCAACATCTTTGTTAAAGAAACTGTATTATCTTTGTACTTTTTATAATGAAATGCATTTTATTAGACACATTCGGAGATCAGTTTCTTTTTCTCTTTAACAGGTTCTCTATCTCACAAAAAAGTTTTTGAACCAGTTTTCTACCATTGATCTTGAAGCTTAACTTTGTTTAATTTTTACAGATTTTGTTTCAAAAAGACAGCAAGATCAGGTTACTAAGATAATAAAAAAGGAAAAAAGGAACTATAAAAAAAATCAGCACAATTTTAAATAATTTCATTAAAATCATAAAATAATGTTAAAGAAATCTGTAGTCGGTAAGTTCACAAGGAGTTATTTTCCTATTTATTATTTAAAAAATTATTTTTTCAAACATTAAGAATCAGTTACCTAGAATTGTGCACTTGGTTTTACTATATTTGTGAACAATATAATATGAGGATGTTATTTGTGAATAATATCGTGAATATTGTGAATAATAGTACAAGATTTTTTGTGTAAGAAAAAGTTATTACTGTCATTTATATGGTTGACTTAAACTTGACACCTTGTATAATCATGCACTCTACCTATGAACCATTTGTTGCAATTGTTGCAATGCATTTATCAACCATGGTAGTATAAATTGCCTTTATTAAATTAATGAGTAAAATAAAGAAAGTAATGTTAAGATACCAAGATATTGTTGTGTAATGTTTTGTAAGTTATATTTTTATTTTAAAAGGTAATTTGACTGATTGGAGTCAGTGGAGTACATGCTCTAGTACTTGTAAGACTATCAGTGTTGGACCTTACCAGTACAGGAAGAGATCTTGTGTTGGTTATTCTACTTGGAATGTTAGGGATGTTCCCTGTAATGGCAACAATACATCTGATCAACAATTATGCAATCAAAATGTACCTTGTTTAGGTATAATTTTTTGTTAATATTTTCATATTTAAATTTATATGAATACTTTTGTAAGATAAAATTTGTTGTTTTATTGGGAAATATAATTGTTTTTATGTTTTTTTTGTGTTTATTTTAATTTTAGGTGAATTATTTTTTATTTTAAAATAATAGTTTTAAGATTTATTTAAACATAAAAAAAACATAAAAACATATATTATTATATATATTACATATATTATTATAGTTTTATTAATTAATGGTTAGTATAGTGCTTAGAATAATTAAAACAGTTCAGCATTATGTCAGTTTACTTCTCATATTTTTTACATCTAATTTGATCAGTGATGCAGAGGTTTTTATGCAAGCAGATTTATTTTAGAATCTGGTAAAGGTGATCATAACTAACTAAATTATTCAAGTTTTTTTTCTTAGTTGGGTGGATATGCTATTGCTAGTAGAGATAAAGAACTCTATAATGTATTATATAAATCTTTAATATAATATAAATATAATATAATCTTTCCAAATATTCTCAGAATGGCTTTTTTTTTGTGGTTCACAGAAATTGATTTATTTACAGATTTTTTACTTTGCTATACTCTCTTTCAAAAAAATCTGCAAAGCCTGATAAATATCAATTGTTATAAATTTTTTTTTGTTGATTAGGTTATTTATTTTTCCTGCTGTCTTCTATTTATTATTATAGGAAGCTATGAAATTTATTTTGGGCTTTTTTCTTAAATTTTGTGTGTGGGGTGTTGACCTAGGTTTGGCATTACTAAGTGTTAAATTTTTTAGATGTTTACACAAATCTTTAACTGATAAAATCCCATTGAAGTTGTTTGTGTATGCGAAATGGGTATTGTGATTAACTAGGTTTGTAAGTTTTATTAGTAAGTTATTAGATTCAAGATGAGAGATTAAGTGTTTGCTAATTAAAGCTCAAGCAATTGCTTTATTACTATTAATAAACCCTAAGCCGTAACAAAGGTCTCTGATGTGGTCTTGGCAATGCACGCCAAAAGTACAAACAGGGACACCATCCATGCGCAACTTTGCACTGTTAGTACTTTGATATTTTACAGCTGTTGACGAAATCAGCTTCTCTGGTAGCTACCATAGAATTTGGGAAACCTAACTTCCAGCTAGCCTTGAACCTAAAAACTGAGTTTTAGAGCTGTACCTATATTACGAGATAACCGAATGAGTTGCCTAGTCATAAAAATAGAGACACAAGCAAAGCACATGCATCGAGTCAAGAAGATCCAGCATTCAACATCCTAAACTGGAAACAATGTATTAAAAATGCATCTGTGCCAGCCTAATAGATGAAGGAGTGTGAGGCTGATCAACAGATAGAATGTGTTTACCCCTTCAGTCCTTGCCTAGGAGGCCTGCTACAAGACAGCAGGACATAAAGGAGATTGTACTGGGTTACATGTTACCAGTAGCAAGATAAACCTGACCTGACATTAGCAAAATAACAAGTATAAAGACATTCAATTAAGCAGAAACTTATTTGTTAATGTTGTTAAGTTCAATTAGTGTTGAATTTTTGTGTGTTTAAACAGTTAAAAAAGTAACATCATTAACATCTCTGAGAATGTTAAAATTGCTGGTGACACTTTATATTAAATTAAGTTGTTGTTGCAACCCTCCATCTACTCTTTACCATTAACCTTGACTAAAGGCTGTTGTGCTAAGAAACAAGTTAAATGTGGTACTATCAAGACAGTGGTTTTGAACTCTAATTTCTTGTTTCAAGAAAACGCTTTACCATTACATCACCACTATATTTCATTTAGTTGATATGTATAATAATGTTTGTCTATTCAGCCTTGGTCGGAAAGCGGGTGTGATCACACTCGATAACTGACCACGGTAACAATATATAGTTGCAAAAAACTGGCCAGATTTTTTAGTACTTTTGAGAACATTTAAGTTTATGTTTTGAGAACATTTAAGTTTTGAGAACATTTAAGTTTCCTTGTTTGGCCGCAAAATAATAATTAAGTTCATTATTTTATCGTAAATTTTACAATATTTTGTTTTACGGACTTACATGGAAACATACAAACATCTTTGTGTGGAAAAATAAAAAAAAGAATATTCGAGAACACAAAAAACCCGCCAAATCTATGAATAACTAATTCTATTGGTTCAAAAAATACTAGCCGAAATTTCTAGAGTATTAAAAAATACTAACCAAATGTTCTAGAGTATTCTGTTAAAATATTTTTAAAAATTGTATTATTTGAGTTTTGTTATATTTTTGTTGAGATTTCTAGCATAAACTGTTTTAAGAAACTATCAAACTGAACTATTATTTAATTACTATGGCTCGTTCTTGGAGCCACATCTACAAAGCTATGAATGTTTTAAACTAACATTTGTTTACAAAAATTAATGTTTCAAATTTATATTTTTTAACTTGTCAACGTTTTGTAAATATATTATAGATTTTATTAGTATATTCTTATTTTTTATATACAAGGGATGTATTTTTTAAGTATGTAATGTATTTTTATGTATGTAATGTATTTTATGTATTTTTTTATATATGTCATTTTATGTGTGTTTATTTTATTCAAATGTAATCTTTTAAAGCAATTTGTGCGATTGATTTTGTAAACAAAAATAATTTCAATAATAACTGCGTTTTTAATGATATTATTAATAATCTTCAAAGTTAATACAATTAATTTTAACCACATATCCAGTTTCTTCAGTGAACCCGATAACTGCGTTATATGCGGTAGTGGTGTAGTGGTAGAGCGCTCGCTTCATAAACGAGTGGTTCCGAGTTCGACCCCCACCACGTCCCTGGTAGTACCGCGCTCAACTTGTTTCTCCGCGCAGCGGCCTTGTTCGTCAAGGTTCGTGTTTCGGAGTTATAGAGTTGAGAGAGGGTTATAACCACAAATAAGTAGCCTCCTCGTCTGTAGTAGCCTTCTCGGCCTTGAGGAGGTGAATTAAAATAAAAATAAAAATAATAAAAAAAAAAAACTGATTTTTTCCCCCAAAAAAGAAAAGTTCTTAGAAATTAAATTAGAAAAGCTCTTAGAAATTAGTTTACTAACTTCAATTATTTTTGCTTCAGCCATTCTTACAAACTCATTATACTAAAACTTAAAGTTACTCTTTTTTGTTGTAAATACTAATTAAATTATAAAACCCACTCATTAAACATCATCAGCGGTATTGTGAAGCAGTTCCACTTCCTCCTCACTAAGTAATTTAACGTTTTTATTTCTATGTAGCTAATTGAATTTGTGCAGTAACTCAATGATTTAATTGTTTCCTTTTTTCATCCTACTAAGAAGAACTGTTTCAAATGTGTTAAACTTTTCAAACTACGCGAAACATAAAACAGTTGTTGAAAAAAAAATTTTATTTATAAATAAATCATCTAGCATTAGTTTTATTGGTTGAATCTTGTTGGACTTTTCAGGGCCGGGGGCTGCATTATTTTAGTGGCCTTTTTTATGTGCCACAGCATAAAAATAACTTGAAAAATACCGAATGGTCCTCTTGACTTTTTTGCGGACCCTAATATTGTGAGTCCCGGGGCTATAGCCCTTCTAACCCCCCCCCCCCCCACCTTCTCTCTTCCTTCCTCCCACCTTTCCATTCCAACATTGGAAATAAGACATAAGTATATAAATAAAAATTATATACTCTTTGATAAATTGAAAAACATTTGTTTCCTTATTAAACAATTGTTAATAGTAAGTTGTTACTTTATAAAAAAAATGATTTTATAAAAATTATAAAAGAGCAACGTTTCAAAAATATTTGCTCTAACTGTATTTGATTTGCTTAAAGTTTTTTCGCGTTAAAAGCTATTTTTTTTTTTAACTGTCTCTCATCGGTCCAGTTAATCTTATTGCGCTTTTTTGTTTTGAAATGTTCTTAAAATGACTAAAAAATCTGGCCGGTTTTACGCAACTAAATATTATTTCCGTGGTCAATTATCGAGTGCAACCAAGCCTGCTTATTATTGATAGATAATGGTTATACTTTTCATTATGCATCAAGGTCGGAAACAAAGTCATAACGTGTTGTTTTTGTTGATCATTTTATTGAAATTAAGTTTTATCATTGTTTATTCGATTAATTTTTTAATAACAATTAATTTAATAGTAATTACATTGGTATATGAACTTTTAGTGTTTTTTTTTTCCTCCAGTATGTACTTATATTCGTGTTTAGGTGATAACCAAGACAGTTTTTTTAAATTTATATCATGATGTTTTTTCTTTTTTAATGATATTATAATTTTTATATGGTATTGTTAGCTTTTTTTGGTTATGAAATTTTTTTTGATTTAAATTGTTTCAAAATTTTTTTTTTTTTTTTTTTTGATTTTATATTATTCTTCTTGATTCTTAGAACAAAAAATTGCTAAATTTTTCTAAATTTAATGAATTTTTTTATATAAAGGTAATTATAGTGTTTGGAGTGATTGGAGTGCATGTTCAGCATCATGTCAGCTTACTTTTCAAGATTTTCCAATTCAATCTCGCAGTAGGATTTGTGAAGGTGATACTTTAGGTGGGGGTTGTGTTGGCCCAAGTTATGAATCTATACCATGTAACAATATATCTTGTCCAGGTGATAATTTTTTTTTATAGAAATATATATATATATATATATATATATATATATATATATATATATATATATATATATATATATATATATATATATATATATATATATATATATATATATATATATATATATATAATTATATATTTATATTTATATATATGCATGGTGCGTACAGTATTTTAGGGCAAATTAATATTAAAATTTATTTATTCATATTTTTCAAAATTCCATGAAATTTTTACATAATGTTAATTGACTTTTAGACTATATAATTATTCAATAAAATTCCAATTAGCGGCAATAGTGGAATCAATCTGAGTTCGGAAACTACCTCATGCTTGAATCAAATACTCTTTGTTCATGTTGATCATTGTGGTTGTTATAGTATCCTTCAGTAATGAAATAGTGTTTCCAGGGCTTCAAAACTTATTCTAAAACCTCGATGTAGGTGATAGCATTCACCTGAAGCCTCTGTTGAAAGAAGTGAGATACCATAACTGAAGATTATGGTATCTCACTTCTTTCTTTTAGGAGATGCGAGCAACAAAGATATCCTTCATTGTTTGCAACTCCTAAAACCATGGCAGTTGCAAGAATCTCTGTAGGATTTGAGCATACCCACCTGTCATTTCTATGATTGGCTCTTTGGTCTTGGTCAAAAAAATTTTCGGCGGAAAAAAAGCAATAACATGTCAGGAACTATAGGGTGCTTAAGCTTGTTCAAGAGATGTTTTCCTCAATTAAGTCTCTGATTCCCAGTTTGTGTAGACATAAACTGCCCTCTGTGTATAACATAGGACTTCTAGCAGAGGTCTACGTGGACAACTCAACGAATTAGACCCTCAGAGACATCAAGGTCCCTTGCAAAGGCCCTCATAGACTTCAAATATATATATATCATTATATCATATCATTAGAAAATATGTGTTTGTTTTAGAGATGTTTTTTTATTTGTATACTTGATTTTAAGTAGAAAATATTTTAATAGGAAACTTAACTGATTGGAGTCAATGGGGTGCATGTTCTAGCACTTGCAAGATTGCTGGCAATGGACCTTATCAATATAGAAATAGATCTTGTGTTGGATATTCGACATGGAATGCTACTTATGTAGGCTGTAATGGCAGTAATACATCTGATCAACAACTTTGTAATCAAATTATCCCTTGTTTAGGTATAATTTTTTTTTTGGTTAAATTTATATTAAAAACTATGTTTTTAATAAATTTTACATTTCTATCATTTTTTTAAATTTAAGCTTTAAATTTCTATTAGAATAATGAAATGACATAAAATGGTTTTATAGAATTAAAGAAAAGAAATATTTTGAATTTATATAAAAGTTTACACATACCACTAAGGGTTTAAAAAAATTATGTTAATAACTTAAACAAATCATTTTGTTTTGTTTATCTTAAAAAAAAGTTTAATAATTTGCTTTTTTTTTTTTTTTTTTTTCTTACTAAAATCATGAATATAAGTAATATTTTGCTTTACTAAACAATATTTTGATAAAAATTTTAGTAATCTTATACCAAGATACATATGATTAGATGGAATTTAATACTGGTGGTGTAACTGTCATAACATGATACACAATAATTTTTTTTAATGAAAATGTTTCATATGTGGTCTTGGGCTTTTTTTGCTCAGTCTAGTTTAAGCATCACAATTTACCTGCATCATAAAAAGTTATAACATCTACCATATTCGTTGTTTTAGTTCAGAAAAATAAAAATAAAAAATTTTTATATTTGTAATCTGATTATTTTAAAAATCTTTTCCTGACAAAAAAACTATATGAGGACTACTTTGAGTAGTCTATATGAGGACTACTTTGAGTAGTAGTACTTTGACTACTATTCAAAGTAGTCCTCATATAGTTTTTTTGTCAGGAAAAGATTTTTAAAATAATCAGATTACAAATATAAAAATTTTTTATTTTTATTTTTCTGAACTAAAACAACGAATATGGTAGATGTTATAACTTTTTATGATGCAGGTAAATTGTGATGCTTAAACTAGACTGAGCAAAAAAAGCCCAAGACCACATATGAAACATTTTCATTAAAAAAACTTTTTGTATAAAGGAGGATAAGTAATAAAATAAAGAAAAACAAACAAATGTTCATAATAAACTCAGATTTATTTTTAGGATAAAACATTTTTACACAACCCACCCAAAAAGAAAGGCTCTAACTTCACCCAAAAACTTTTTTTTTTAATTTCTAACTTCATCAAAAAAAATTTTAATTTTTAATTAGGAAAAGATTTTAAAATAATCAGATTACAAATATAAAATTTTAATTTTTCTGAACTAAAACAACTAATATGGTAGATATAACTTTTTATGAAAAAATTTTTTAAAAGAAATTAATTTTCAAGAAAAAATTAGTTTATTCAACTTCACCCAAAAACTTTTTTTTTTTTTTTTTCTCTTAAGGAAATGATTAATGAAATAATGCTTGGTAAATATAAACATTAAAAATATAATTGATTTAAAGAGCTAAAACAATTGAAATGATGTAGGTTTTTAACTTTCTACATAAAAAAAATTTAAAAAAAATGTGTCTTCAAAAAAAAAATTTTAAGGAAAAAAAACCTCCATGTTCTAATTTGTAATTTTTATAAAGTTTTGTATAAAGTTATAGCCCTTGGAGTGATATAAATGAAAGTTTTTTTATGTCAAGGTAATTATAGTGCCTGGAGTGATTGGAGTAGCTGTTCAGCATCATGTCAATTTAACTCTAGTGTTTCTCCATTTCAAAGTCACAGTAGGATCTGTCAAGGTGATACATTAGGTGGAGGTTGTGTTGGCCCCAGTTATGAAACAAAGCAATGTAGTTTTGGAATACTTTGTCCAGGTAATGACATTAGTATACTTAAATTATAGATTTTGATAAAACAATATGCTAACTTGAAGTGATATTGATATAATAGTTTTTTTAACAGTTAAATCTGTTGTTTTTTTTTAAACTATTATTTATAATTTATTATAATTTATAAATATTTTTGTTTGAAAAGTCTTCTTAATAATAAGTGTTGAATGACTTCTCAATTTGTTATTCATTTTATAATGAGATTTTTAATGTTTTAAGTATTAAATAAAAGTTTATCATTATAAACTTTTGTATATTTAAACAAAATATGATGAGATGAAATATTTGAATTCTAAAGTTTTGAATTTAATGTTGTTTGACTTTTATATACATATTTTGATACTAATGTGTTTGTTTTATACATTATCTTTTTTTAACAAAATTTTCTTTTTTCAAATAATAATAATTTGAATTGCAAATAATGAAATAAATCTTTACATAGTTTTGCAAGACTTATGTTGCAACATGCACTTATCCATGTAAGCATAAGACTGTCAACATGCACTTACCCATATGTAGGTTTGTTAACCTGCACTTGTCCATATGCAGGGTTTATGGCCTGCAATCGTCTATGTGCAGGGCTTATGACCTGTCCTTATCCGTCTGCAGGTTTATAACCTGCATTGGACTATATGTAGGGTTCTTGCACTTGTCCATATGCATGGTTGTTGACCTGCACTTGTCTATATGCATGGTTGTTGACCTGCACTTGTCCATATGCATGGTTGTTGACCTGCACTTGTCCATATGCATGGTTGTTGACCTGCACTTGTCCATATGCATGGTTGTTGACCTGCACTTGTCCATATGCATGGTTGTTGACCTGCACTTGTCCATATGCATGGTTGTTGACCTGCACTTGTCCATATGCATGGTTGTTGACCTGCACTTGTCCATATGCATGGTTGTTGACCTGCACTTGTTTAAATGCAGAAATAATAATTTACACTTGTCCATATGCAGGGTTGTTTGTTTTGCATATGAACATTTGTTTTGCATATTGACAATTGCATATGAACTTGTCCATATGCAGAGTTGTTTGATTAATAATTTGCACTTGTCCATATGCAGTTGTTTGCCCATATGCAGGGTTGCGCTATTCTTGTTAACTTGCACTTAATCTTATACAAGCTCGTACTTGCAAAACTCACTTTCTTAGCCTTATTCTTTTATATTTCTTTTTTATTCTTTTATCAAATAAAGTTGATATGTAATAACTAGATTCAATTTGTTTCATTGAGTCTAAATATTTGAATTTGTTTCATAGAGTCTAAATATTTAAATTTGTTTCATAGAGTCTAAATATTAAAGTTGTAATGCTAATACTTTAATAGTATACTTTTTTATTATATCCTTATGTTTTATGCTTTTTTTATGCATAATTTTAAAATAGGAAATTTAACTGATTGGGGCCAATGGAGTGCATGTTCTGATTCTTGTAACACTATTGGTGATGGACCTTACCAGTATAGAAACAGGTCTTGCATTGGATATTCTACGTGGGATGCTAAGTATATAGGTTGCAATGGCAGCAATACATCTGATCAACAACTCTGTAATCAAATTATACCTTGTTTAGGTATTTTTTATTTTTCCTATTTTTATTAGTTTCATGTTTTTTTATTTGTTTCATGTTACTTTTTATAATTTTGATACTGTTTTCTTTAAAACTATTAATTGTTGTATTTTCTATGATAAAGGTAATTATAGTGCTTGGAGTGATTGGAGTAGTTGCTCAGCAACATGTCAAATTAACTCTAATGTTTCTCCGTTTCGAACTCACAGTAGGGTCTGTGAAGGTGATACATTAGATGGAGGTTGTATTGGCTCAAGTAATGAAACTCAGCCTTGCAATTCTAGAGTATCTTGTCCAGGTAACATTTTTTTTCAAAATCTTTAAATATTTAAGTTTAAAATGACTTTAACTTTGTATATTTTTATGTGATTTAATGTTTTATAATATAATAAATTTGGTATTTAATTCCAACAATACTTGTTATACTTAAAAGCACAGTGTCAAGTGTGTGAGTCCAGTCTAGTGTAAATTATAATATCTGAAAGCTGTTTTCTTATCAAAAACATATTGGAGACTTACTCTTAAAGTTTAAATTTGCTTTATTATACTTTAAAGAAGAAAATTATTTATTTGCTATTGTTTTACATAATGTTTTTGCAGACAAAGTACAACAAGTAATTTTGACAGAATCTTCTGAATAGTTTGGTTATTTATGTTAATTATGCGGACTTGATAATTTGCTTAAAATAGTTGAGAGGCATTTTTACCAATTAACTTATTTAAAAAAAAATACCTTGATATGTTGTTTAAATATCTCTTTACAACTTTAAAGTTAAAATTCAACAAATTTTTTTTGTATAAAATCAGATAGAATTCAAATCTTTTAAATAATTCAATTTGAACTTTTTTTTATGAACTTTCCATTTAAAATAACTATTTTCTCCTTTTAAATCCTAATTTAATTTGATTAGGTGCAACTCGTCAAGAATTTAGTTTTGATTTATGCATGGAAACAAAGTTTAGAAATAAAAGCAGAAAAAGATAAATGTGTGATAACAATTATAGTTTTGCAATATTTATGATAAAAACAAACTGATTAATACTAGTAAAGTAAATAATTATAAATAAATATAATAAAATAAATGAATATTAAATGAGAATGAGTGAAGGTTTTGATCTTGAAAAGTTTTGAAATTAGAATTTAAAAAATCTTTCAATTTTTTTTTAAATTTAATTAAAAAGAACTCTTAAGATCAATTAATATATTTTGTAACTATTTTTTTTTTCTGTGAGATAAATAAGATATTTAAACTTGTAATACAGGTTATGGTTAGTCTGCTCATTACCTACCATTTATACAAGGTGTCTGTCAACTTTATGATCAGTTTTTCTGACTTTTTGATGATCCTCTAGCTGTTTTCTACTATTATAAATTTTAGTTGCAAAAAAACTTGACTTTAGAAACAATTGAATTTAACCTTTTTAGAAAATTTTTAATTGAATTTTTAATTTTTAACAAAGTCACCGATAAAATCAAGATAAAAAGCAAAGAGAGGTTTTAAAATAATCTACTGGTTAAAATCTTATATTATTTGAACGGTATCCAACCGTCATAGGTTATGTCATTTTGCAGCAGAATCATTCTCCACAACATTTCCTAAGTTCACAATTCAAGGCTAAATTTATTTTTAAAAAAGAAGATCATAAGTTAAAAATTAAACTTAATGAGCTATTTTGATTTTTTATTTAATGTATGACTCAACGAGGAAAAATTTTGATCTTTTTTGTTTTGTTCATTAGTGGGGTTTAGTGTTATGAAAAAAAGTAATGGAGTATACTATTTTGATGGATCTAAATTCTGTCCTTGTTGCGTACTCAGTTTAGAATGTTTAACCTAGGCTTTTTCCTTAATAAATTAATATTAAATAATTTTAACTTTTTATTATTTTTAAAAATAATAAATTTAATAAAATAATTTAAACATAAAATTAAAATTTTCAATTATGTTCTTAATAAAAACATACTTTTTAAACCCCCTTACTGTTGTAAAATTAAAGGTAATGAAATAAATAAAATTAAAAATAAAGCAAGCTAATGATTTGAAATTGCCGCCTGGCAATTTCAAATCATTAGCTTGCTTTATTTTTAAATTTTGTTATTTAAAATGCAAAACAAATAACTTGATAGTTTTCTAGATTTTATATTCTATATATCCTATTTTATATTCTATATATTCTTTATATTCTATATAAAAACATGTTGTATACTCATTTTTCTTGTACGAATTTAACTTTGTTGTAAAAAAAACTTGAAATGTAAAACTAAAATAACATAAGTAACTCAATCAAGTAATTTTCCCCGTTTTTTGACTTTTTTAGAGTTTTTAGCTTTTTTAAAAATCTTTTTCTTTGTTAAAGTGTAAAATATTTTTACATATGTTTGTATTTCATCTCTATAAAACTGCTGCAGAATTTTTTTATTTTTTCATTTCCTAATATTTTTATTATGAAACATATGGCGTTTTATGTATTTTAGTGGTAGTTTTGTTTTGTTTGATACTTTGGTTAAAAAAAATATTAAAAAAAAATTAATAAATTATATAAGAAAAGCTTAACTTCTACTTTTTAAAAATATATAACAATAATAATATAAAGTAAGAAAAACACAAAAAATTGAATTTTAAAAATGTAAACTTTTATTTTAAAGAAATGCAAATCAGTTGGATTTCTCCTTTACTACACTGAGTAATCAAAACTATTTTAATAATTTTTCTAAAGTTTTTTTTAAAAGTATTTATTTTGATATTTAGGTATTATTTTTTTTTATTTTTTTTTAAATATTACCAAATTTTTTTTAAAGTATTATTTAAAACAGCATAGTTTGTTGTTTAGAAATGAAATTAAAAAGAAGAAATTGAAATTAATTGAATGCAAATTTTAAAACTTACTTGTTATTTTCTTCATTGAAATCATATATAAAATGTTTATTTTAGTATATATTTTTATTTGCAATCAATTCAGTGTTTGATATTTTGGCAAACACAATATTCTTGAATATTTTTGTTAAGCAAGATTTTTTTTATTTAGGTGTTTTAAGTAGTTGGAATACATGGGGAGTATGTTCACAAAGCTGTCATCAAAGTTATGATTTACCTATGCAAAGTAGAAGTCGCTTATGTGAAGCCTCTAGTTTTGGTGGTAATTGTAATGGATCTATACTCATACAAACACGTACTTGCAACATTTTTGTAAACTGTCCAGGTTTATGGTTTATTTTTTAGTTTTAGGTTTAGTTTTTATTCTTTTGTTTTATTTTGATGTTAGAGTTTTATTAATTGTTGCAAGTTATCATAATTGTTGCAAGTAGGTTTGCATTATTTAGATTTATTTTAATAGTTAAAAAAATTTTTTTTTAGGCTTTAGCTGTGCAACTGCCAATTTTTTTATATCTGGTAGTCAGTGGACTGATCAGCTCTCCAACAAATCAAGTGTAGAATATAAAGAATTGTTAAATCAATTACTTAGTCAGGTGAGGTTATCTAAAATTTTTATACCACGATCATATACAAAGTTTATACAGAAATTTAAATTTTTGCATAAAATTTTTTTTTTTTTTAAAAAAAAACAGTTGATTCCAAATAAGATTACAAAGATCAAAACTTACATTATTACACAAAATAGATATATGTCTGTTATAAAAATAGAAATAAAAAATCTCTTTAAAACAGTTCATTAAGTCCAATAATTAAAGATTTTTTGTATCCTGGGTTCTTTTTGGACATCTCTATTTTAAACTGAAAGGTATGGTTATTAAAAAAAAAACTGTTATAATATTTTGACTGGATGATGTCCACAAGTTGCTTTGTTGGAAAAAATAAATGATGGTGACAACTGCTATTATTATATTCTGCCTAGGGCTGGATACAATATTTAGCTGTATTCTGTAAACTTTTTTCTCTGTGCAGTGTTTTCCAAGTCTCATCTTTTAGATTTATAGGATTGAGATTCCCTCTACCCCATCATGTAATGCTGTTACCTGTTTTTAATTCTGTTGAATTTACTGCCATTAATTATGACAAATAAGATCTTTTATAATTTTTTTTTTTTGAAGAAATGTATAAGATTTGAAATTTTGTATGGAATTTGTCATGAATATGTAATACTCTTAAAAAATATATTGAACCTTTATATGTGTGATTGAATTTCACAATTGTTAAAGAAATTAACAGTTGAATAATCAAATCACACATATAAACATAAATACTGCAGAGCTAGATAACGATTGACAGATAGCTTAAAAGATTGCAAATTGTATGAATCAGGAAAGCAAGATGGAGGAAGCGAATTTCAAAGAACTTTGGCCCACTATTCTCAGGTCTTTTTACAATGGTTTCTAGCATTAGTAAACAGATGTCTGTTTTCTGGAGAATTGTTTTGCTGATATTTATGGATTGTTCATAAAGTATGTGCGCTCACAGAGGAAGAGGGGTCTGCAAATGACGTTTAAGAGATGGGAGACAGTAGGTCAATTATAAAAGTACGGAAACACTAAATTAAAAAAATATCATCAAGTGTTGGGTTGGTAGGTTAAAGGCGTAGGTACTTTTAGGAAGGTAGAGGGTACTCAAAAATGCGTATAACAAAATGTGAAGGGGTGAAGGCAAAAAAAAAGTGTACGTACTTTATTAATAACCTCTAATGGTTTCAATAAGAAATTGCAGCAGCACAATGTGAGGAAAACCAAGGAAAAGAGCGAGGCATGAATCTGGAATCGTCAAGAGGGAGTAAAAGATTCCACGAAGTTTTGTAAGAAGCACATTTGTCAGCAAGAAAGCGAAAGATTTCTACCCTAGAGCCATTACAAAAAAAATCTTGGATAGAGTCATAGTCTGCTTTAAGGTAGTCGTAAGAGGTACAATGATAAGGGGATTCAGATGATGAAGAAGATTGAGATAATAGTTTTAGAGAGATCAAACCATGATTAGAAGCACTTAAGGGTGAATGTGGAGAAACTGAACATTGACTAGGATCAGAAACAAGATATAAGTTGAGTAGTGAAGGTTAATTAATGGGGTTGTCTGGAAAGTGAATTGGAAGTTGTGAGGTTTAATGCCTGCAGAGTCACTGACACTAGGGCCATGTTATTTATTGTGATGAGCATTAAAATCCCCAACAGTAACAATATTGGCTGATGGATAAAGAGAGAGGGCTTGTTCAGTTTGATCAGAAATAACATCAAAAATATTGCAGTCTTGAGATGAGGGACAGTGATATAGAACAAAGAGAAAGGCGATTAAGTGAAGAAGTGCTAAACAAAAGCACATAAAGTATAGACTCTAGATTCAAATCTAGTTTCCCTACAAATCGGTGAATTCTTACAAATAGAAATGCCCAGGCCAAGCATGTGACTTTTGGAGTCTTTACAAATTAAATGAAGATAACGATCAACACTAAAATCACAAGATGAGACAGTTGAACTAAAATTAGTCTCACAAAGAGCAAATAGGTTTGGTGAACTTGGCAAAAGATTAGACTCAACAGAAGAAAAGTTACTTCGAAGTTCACAAATATTCGTGAATGATAGGTTTAAAGAACTTGGTGATGATGATGGTTTTGTGTTTTCTTAGTTTTTGGTATTTTATTTATTTTTAAATTTCTTAAATAACTTGACTCAAAGCATAGACAGTACTCAGTACACTGTTTAATAGCTCAAGCAATTTCCTCATTACTCCTAATAAACCCTAAGCCATAACAAAGAGCTTCAAATGTGGCCTTGACATTGCACACCAAAAGGAAAATCAGGGACACCATTAATGCACAACATGGCATTGTTAATACTTTGATATTTTTCAGCTTTTGATGGAATCAGGCTCTCTGAGAGCTACCACAGACTTCAGGAAACCTGACCACCAGCCGGCCTCAGAACCATAAAACTGAGTTTTATAGCTGTAACCTCATTAAGATATGATAGAATGAGTTTGCCTAGTTGTAAAAAACAGAGACACAAGTAAAACCCATGAATTGAGTCGAGATCCAGCGTTCAACATCCTAAACTGGAAAAAATTTATTAAAAATAGATTTGTGCCAGCCTAATAGATGAAGTAAGGGTGCAAGGCTGGTCAACAGAATCTGCTTACTCCATCAGTCTTTTGAGACCCTCCACAAGACAGTTGCCAGATGCATTTAACATCTGCCTATGATAAGTATTATTTTTCAAGACACCATCTCTAGCCTTTACTCAACCAAGGACACCAAGACAGGGGGTGTTTTAAGTCAGAGTTGGCTTCTCCTAGCCTTTGCCTTAAAAAGCGTATCCTACAAGGCAGCAGGATATGAAATAGATTGTACTGGGTTACATGTTACCAGTAGCAGGATAACCTGATCTGACATTAATTATAATTATTTGATTAAATTATCAAATTATTAAGTTAAAATATAACAATAATGTATAAAAATATATTTGATAAAAATTTAATAAATAATATTTACTTTACTTTATTTAGTTTGAAAAAAATTTTACATCAGAAAAGTTTACAAATGAACTATATTTTCAAGATGTTCAATTTTATAGGTAATTTCATTTTTTATACAGTTAGCAATGTATAATGTTACATACATTATATATATATATATATATATATATATATATATATATATATATATATATATATATATATATATATATATATATATATATAATCACTTGGCAAAATTTTTTCTCATTTAACACTGTGTTTCATCAATAAAGACTCATCAGAAATATATATATATATATATATATATATATATATATATATATATATATATATATATATATAGCGCTCAAAATATATATATATATTTTTTTTAATCAATTCACCTCCTCAAGGCTTAAGGCCACTACAGGTTAGGAGGCTACTTATTTGTGGTTATAACCCTCTCTCAACTCTATAACTCCAAAACACGAACATTGACAAACAAGGCTGCTGCGCGAAGAAACGAGTTGAGCGTGATACTTCAAGGGACGTGGTGGGGATTGAACTTGAAACCTCTTGCTTATGAAGAGAGCGCTCTACCACTTCACCACTACCACTACACCACTACCACTACACCACTAGCGCGTTCTATCTATCTATCTATATATATATATATATATATATATATATATATATATATATATATATATATATATATATATATATATATATATATAGCGCTCAAAATATATATATATATTTTTTTTAATCAATTCACCTCCTCAAGGCTTAAGGCCACTACAGGTTAGGAGGCTACTTATTTGTGGTTATAACCCTCTCTCAACTCTATAACTCCAAAACACGAACATTGACAAACAAGGCTGCTGCGCGAAGAAACGAGTTGAGCGTGATACTTCAAGGGACGTGGTGGGGATTGAACTTGGAACCTCTTGCTTATGAAGAGAGCGCTCTACCACTTCACCACTACCACGACACCACTAGCGCGTTCTATCTATCTATATATATATATATATATATATATATATATATATATATATATATATATATATATATATATATATATATATATTTCTATATATATTTCTATATATATATATATATATATATATATATATATATATATATATATATATATATATATATTTCTATATATATATGTATATTTCTATATATATATATATATATATATATATATATATATATATATATATATATATATATATATATATATATATATATATATTTCTATATATATATTTCTATATATATATATATATATATATATATATATTTCTATATATATATATATATATATATATATATATATATATATATTTCTATATATATATATATATATATATATATATATATATATATATATATATATATATATATATATATATATATATATATATATATATATATATATGTATATATATATATATATATATATATATATATATATATAGCACTAAATATAAAAAACTTTCTTTGTTCTTGACAATTTGCCCTATAAATACTCAAGTTTGGCAGACATGTCTTATAAAGACGTAAAGAAATGTGATTGAACGCCAATACTGTCCACGCCTAAAATATTTTGCTTTTACAACTTGACCACAGCAGTTTGTTTCAACAACTTATGGCGTTTCAAAAGTGTGCTGAAAATAAAAAGAAAATCTCAAAGATAACCTATTTAAAAAATATAATCCTTAAAAAAAACGAAAAAATCTTAGCTCAAAAAACTAAAATTTAAAATGCAAAATATATTTATAATACTTTATTTTTAAATTGCCTTATTGTGCGAAATGCTTTATAAATTATTATAAACTATTAATATATTAAATATATAAATTATTAAATTTTCTTATTACTTTATTAAATAAAGTAACAAATTAATTCTTATGATTGTGTACAATTTAACTATTTTATTTAAATTATTAAAGAGTTTTATACCTAATTACATTTATATAAATATGTATTTTTTGGATAAAACTTATTTTATAATTGTTTTTATAAACACTTTTCATAGCTAAAACAAGCGTTATGTAACAAAACTCAAAGTTAAAAGAAATAAATATTGTAAATTAATATTAACTTGTAAATGTTTACATTTTTTGTTTTCAAAAAAAAATGCATGCGCATACTTGTAGGCAGAAAATACAAATATTTTGAAAATTTTCAGCAAAAAAATTGCAATATTTGTATGTTCTGTAAGGAAATTTATTCACTGTTTTCTTTTTTAACAAAAATTAAAATATTTTAAAAAGTTGTTTTGTAGCTAGTTAATTAAAAACTAATGTGAATTTAAAGTTTTAGAGTTTCTTATGCAAAATTGTTTTTTAAAAGTAGAAGACATAGAAACTGGATTGAAGCTAACGGGTTAGCCTATTCCATCTGGTTTCATAACTCCAATTTCTAGTTTGATCTAAAAAAGAGAAAAGAAAAGTATCCTATGAAGCTTTATGCAAAAAACGACAATCATTTGGCTATTAATATATCTACGATATAGAGTCTGATAACTATACTGAGAAAGTACATTATGACACCAAATAATGTCTACTATTTCTAAATATTATCAACACAATATTTATAAAGCAGAATTTTAAAGTTTTTACTTTCAATTAATGCACAAAACTTAATTAAATTATTCAAGAAATTGCAAGAAAAATTGCAAGAAAAAAATTTTGACTTTACGATAGCAAACTTGGTTCAGTTGTAAACATATTGATACCATTAAATTTGTAACTGGTATATAATAAAAAACAGCATTTAGTTTGCTGAGGCAATTAGTTTATTATCTGCTGGCTGGAGTGGTTGTGTATCAGACAGATTACTATATCAAAATGAAATTTTATCAGATGCTTAAACCTAATGGTTATATACTTGCTCACAGAGTGTGCTGATTTTTATTGCTTACTACTGTTATTTGATAACTATTGGGTTTCTTTCATGTAAAATAATTTGACTATATCTTTAGGTTAGCATATTTATTAATTTGCTGAATAAAGCCAACTATACCATCTTGAATTTTAATTTATTATTTTTAGTTCACTACATCGCACAGTGGGCCAGAATTCACTTTTGCTGGACAAAATTCATAACTAATTTAATATTAGGGCTATAATCACTAAAATTAGCATGAGTACTAATACGATGTCTGCCCTTTTTATGAAGGTGCTATTTTTTATTTCGTTGCTATGGATACCTTTATTTTGCTTAGCAACAACCTATTTTTGGTATTTCCAGATATTTCACGAGTGCTATATTTACTAAAATTAGCATGAGTACTAATATGATGTCTGCATTTTTTATGATGGTGTTTTTTTTTATTTTGTTGCTATGGATACTTATATTGCTTAGTTACAATATCCTTAGTTACAATGGGGTAAACTAAATGTCGTTAGAACATCGTTAATTTGTAGCAAAAAACATATAGTAAACAGATAAGCAGAAAAAATGAAAAGAGAAGCACAATTTAAGTAATATTGCAGTAAAAATGTAATAACACAAAATCTTTAAGTGGTGCTTCTTTTAGTAGCTCTAGCACTCCATCTGGAAAGTTTTATTTCTTTGGTGTGGTGTTCTCAAGTTACTAATAATTGAACCAGATGAACACATCAATTTCTTTAACAAGTCTTCAGTTGTTTTAGAACGGGAGCACTTCCTTGAAAAAGACTCAAGGAACTTCATGAAGTCCTTGTTATGTGCTTCTTGTGCCTCTTCACTGAGCTTTCCAATTGGCAAAGCCATTCGATCCACAACTTGCCAACCATGAATAAGAATTCGGTGCAGACTCTGTGGCATGTGGTACCATGGATACTGGTTCACATATCATTCAGCTGTTTGCATGCAGAAGTCTCTAAATCAAGAAGAATCAATAACATATTGTGGCGATAAAGTGCACAAAATAACATGCAATTTCTTAATGATGATGACATCTAGTTGGAGAATTTCTGTAGTCTTCTCTGCATTTTGAAAAAATTGTGAAGCAGTATTGCCAGTGTTTGAAGACCCTGAACCACAGGTCCTTGGAAAATCAATTAAAAACCCAACTTCATCATGAAATTTTTTTTAAATTGATGTCTTTCTATCTTGAATTATTTTTTTTTCTGATGATTCTCGTGTTGACCATTTCTGTGTTGCTAATTTGTAGCTTATTTTGAGAAGACATTCCATAGTTCTGATCCATCCATGAAGAGTTGAAAGCCCATAATTGAGTCCAGTTTTAGTAAATTGGAAGATTTTTTGCAGTATTTAAGTCATTCATTTTTTTTGGATATCAACCACAAACTGAGCAGCATTGTGATGATTTTGTTGCTGTGGATAGTGCTGTGGCAACTTTCCCATCCATCATTGTAATTTAAATTTTGTGCAGAACTGTTAATTTGTCATACTTTGTAGTAAATAATTTTTCTATTGAGTTGTAAAGGAATTGTTCTTCTTCTTTTAATACATCTGATGTTTCTTCTTTATAGGAGAATCTTATTGGTCAGTTCTATATTTTACTATATTTAAAAAACTGTTATTTATTTATTCTGAAAAATCAAAATGAGTTAGGGTAAACAAAAAAAAAAAAAAATTTGACAATCTAATGAAGTTATCCAGTTTATCTCTTTATCTTTTTCTATATCATACCAAGCCCATCGTTAAATTTTTGTTTTGGTGATCTAAATACAGATCGAACTTTGTCTACTGTGAGCAATCTGTTCTGTTTTTCAGTTTCGCCGGAATATCTATGAATATACTGTCCCATCATACCTATAGGCTGTTCTGATTTTTAAAAATCAAAGTTTCAGCATATTATTGAAAACTTTTAAAGCATGACTAGATATGTCAATAGTTTGGTTGAAGTGAGAATCAGTCTTTAACTTGTTGCTTATCAAACCCAATCATGTCAAAAATCAGGTACAAAAAATTGTTGGCTAAGACAGACAAAGATAGTGGTTTTTTACCAATATTTGCATCCATTTTATAATTTTCCTTGATATCAACTTTATCTTTGTTCTCAGGCTTATAGTAGTCAGAGCTAGACATATCAAATGACAGAGTTACTGATGCAATTTTTGTGTTTTCCTCTAATGCTAACTCATCATCTAGCAAAGCTAGAGGTATCATGTTTGAATCCAAATACCAACAATACTTACACTGAGACTCTAATACAATATCAATAACTATTGAGTTTGAACATTCTTGTACAAATGCATTTGATGTATGGCCATAAGATTGATTGGATAGAAGTTAAAGCTTTAGATAATAAATTGCTTTTCCTAAAAATCTTGCATGATGAACAGTACCAGTTTTTTATTACTTTTTATGTAAAAAATGGATAAATAAGCGACAACTAATTCTGCATGTTCATTTCTATCATTTCTTATAATACCTGGTTTACCAACTTAAGCTATGCAAGATGTCAATGACTTATTAGCTGCCTTTTTTAAAAGAGAGCTTCTAACCTTATTCCGATCAAATCGTAGCAGTTGAACTGGATTATAATTAAAATAAGGTTCTTCGAAAAATATCTTTAAACTTTTTGAAAAGAAGATTATCAGGTCCATTAGTTTTGTCATTGGTTACTAATTTCCAAAATTAAAGCATTCTTAATTCAAGCACGTGATATCCACAGGCAATTTGGAGAAGATACTTATCTATTTCTTTAGATATATTAAAAACTGATATATATATATATATATATATATATATATATATATATATATATATATATATATATATATATATATATATACTGTAGGGTAATTATCTGCACCTCAGTTTGATAACTACTGCTTTTGACAAATGGTGTGAGCAAAAGCAAATGGCGGCCAACAAAACACTATCACCATTAGTAGCACTCACTATAATCAAAAATGCTGAAAGACCTTTTTACTAATGTGTGGATAGCACTACAGGTATTGCTGACAATTTCAGTGACAGCGGCCAGTTGCGTACATAGATGTACACAACTGGCCGCTGTACATAGATGATTCGATGTACATAGATGATTCGAGAATGATTGTTGTTGCTTGCGTTACTCTCCATTAAAAACAAGCAAAAAAACTAAACCTTGGAAAAAGTATAGAATACTTTTCCTTAAGAAAATCTTGAAGAATACTGTTATAAATTTACCTGTTTGTCAGTAATTTATGTTTTCATTTAGAGTTTTCATTACATTGTTTGAACTATTTAATTTCCTTAAATTATTACAATCCTTGAATTGAGTGTATATATATTTATCCTTATGGTAGATTGGTAAGTAGTGAAAGTATTGAGTTTTTAAAGCACAAAATGCTATATGCAACTCTTGCTGAAGAGAGGGGCATTGCAACTAGGTTTGATCTGGGCACTGCCAACCCTAGGGGCTGTCCAGCACACACGCACATAAATAGATATATATATATATGCTTGTATATATGAATATATTTTGATAAATACATGTCTATGATATATTAAAATTACTTTGTTATTAATTTTTTTTAACTAGAAATACAAATATTGGTGTGATTGTGAGATTTACTTACAAAGCACAAATGGGAAATACAATTGAGAATTGTGAAAAATTAATTAACTTTAAATTGGGATCTAATTTACTTGGTGTTTCAATTAAACCTTGTGGTGAGATTTAATTTAATTCATTAGTTTTGTGTTTGTTTGAGAATTTTTGTGTTTGTTTGAGAATTTTTGAGGCTTTACATTTTTTTTTTGCTTAGTTTTTTCAAACTAAGTAATTTTAAATTGCATGTAAAAAAGAAAGTTAAAATAACATAATTTGTAAAATTTCATTTAATTTTGATATATTTAGATTGCTGCATTAACCAAACAGTTGGGCAAGAAAATTTAAGAGGAGTGTATACATTTCCATTTACTATAGTTAACAATATATTAACAACAATGTGTGCATACAATTCCAGTATTACTTTTCAAACACAATGTTTGATCAATAACGTTACTTATTTACCTGAGTTGGTGTTTGCATCTCTTAATAGCTGTCCATTATATTCCCCGACTACTTATCAACTTATCAATACAGCTAATGTTAGTTTAAGTATTTTTGGTGTTTTTTGATAATAATAATAATAATAATATGTATTTATTTATATAAAAAATTCAAATTAATTTTTAATGGTTAGTAAGTGGCAAAAATTGTTTAGAGGGATATAATTGAAATAAAGTAAAATTACATACAACATGCTATGTGATGTTGCAGACACATGGGAAATAATTTCAGAATAAAAATCTCTAGAAAATCAAAAAAGTTGTAAAGTTATAGAAAGCTCTAGAACATTTAATGAAAACTCTGAAATTTATAATTTTGATAATTATTATTATTGTAAATACGTTTTAAATGATTTCTTTTTTAATGAAAGCTTTGAGAAATATTTTTGAATTTTTAGTTAATATAAAATGTAAGCAGAAAAAGAAAATCAACACTGACTACAGTCAATATTGATTTTTTATAATGATGGTGATGACTTTAATGAATTCAGTTTTAATTGTTAACACAATCACTATAAACAACTCAACAAACATAATCCCATGTCTTTCTTAGCCGAGGTACAGTAAATCCAAGTTTTTATGTTTCAAAAAGTACCAAAAGATTGCAACTCTTTGCATGTTGCTGTTAAAAGAATCAGTGTAATTAGAATAACATGAGTTAAAACTAAAACTTTAGTCTTTTAAACGCTTTATGATATAATGGAATTTAACTTTAGTCTTTTAAACGCTTTATGATATAATGGAATGTAAGTACTAATAATATGATGGAATGTAAGTACTAATGATATGATGGAATGTAAGTACTAATGATATGATGGAATATAAGTACTAATGATATGATGGAATGTAAGTATTAATGATATGATGGAATGTAATAAGTATTATGCACAAATTTTGCCTAAAGCAGTTTTTCAGTTTAAGCTTTTTGCTTTTTTTACTTGAGCTACTAGAGTTGCTTTATACTTGCACAGGTGTGGGATTTTTATATCAATTTTTATTGTCTTTGTGAGAATTGTGGTGTTAGCATAAATATCTTGTTTGAAGTTAATTTCTGCATTTTGTCCATGCCCACAAAAAATTTTAATTAATCCTTTGCAGTCCAATGTCCCGCATGACAGGACATCATGAAATTATCCTTGTGGTCCAATGTTCTATACCACGGGACATCTACTATGTTTTTGTTTATACAGAAAAAAATAATCTATTTAAGCTAACTTGGACAATTTACTAGGTTCAATTTGTAGTGTGTTTTCAACTTAGTGATTTTCAGTAACATTTTCTAATCGTCTTACTTTACTTATATACTTAAAAAGTTTTAATAAAAAGTTATTTACTAATGGCAAGGAAACGTTATACAGTTGAAATGTATTGAAGGCATTGGATGAAACAAATACTGAAAGTGACAGTGAATACAATTTAAGTGAAAAAGCCAAAAGCGACAGTGAATCTGAGACTAAAATTTTGCATGCACAATTCATAAAAACCCACAAACTGTGGCATTCGTGTTTTTGTCTTTTGTTAGCCGATAGTGAAACAGGTTATATTAGTTTCTTTGAACTATATTATGGTAATTGCACTACTGAAAGTTTGGCAAGACCTATGATGCAGTTCCCAAGTCTAATAGTGTTGCATTTGTGTAATGAGCTTTTAGAGGCTGCTCTAGGTAGTTGTTATCACTTATTTACTGACAGATTATATACTAGTTTTTCTCTTGCACAAGATCTCCTCAAAATGAACATACAAACTACAGGGGCAATATGAAAAACAGAAAACAGTTACATGCAGATATAAAAAAGTTCAATTTAAAGAAGCACAAAGTTTCTGCATATAAACACTTTTCCAATATTATGATTTTGGCATGATAGGACAGGCGACATGTTTTAATGCTGATTACATTCTATGATTCAAAAACTGAAGTTCCAAAATAAATAACCAATCAAGGTATTGTAGACATTAATAAAGTCTTTAAAATGGTGGAGAAAAATATTTTTGTTGTTGTTGGAAGTTGCTGTTGTAAACAATTATATATTGTTCAATAAATTTTGTAAACGCAATGGTAAAAATAAACTTAGACACCTAACCTACTGACAAAATTTCTTTGTTGGAGCATGTTGTAACATTCAAGAACAAAGAGGAAGGCAATCATCATTAGCTGAGAATGAATGCCTCAACCAAAAGCTCCATTTTATTGTACAAGTTCCAAGTAATAATGCCAAAGACTGTCTAGTCTGCATTGACAGAAAAAAACAGAGTGGTAGAAGAAAAACTGTATACTATTGTAAAACCTACACTAGAAAACCAGGACCTGTCGCGCATACTGGTGCACTGGGATATCAAGAAAATCCCAGTAGGTCCTCTTAAAATTTTTAAGACAGGGTTCCTTACCAAATAGGTACCTGTAGTTTCTGTTAAATTCAGTAATTTAATTTTCATAATAGCATTTTTTTTTTAATTTCTTGAATATTATATTTCTTTAGTAATACAAACTATTAAAGTAATAGTTTGAATAAATTGAAAATAGTTTTTAATGTTAAAATTTTTTTAGATTTAATGTGGTGAACCTAATTAATGTTAAATATTTATATATAAAAAAATCATAATATTAAGACAGGACTTTGAAATTAGTATACATAAAAGTCAATGTAAAAGTGGCCTACTATCGGAATAATGAGATATTGATAAAAAAAGGTAGAGGAAATTTGTTTACTTTTATAAGTCCTACAACTGTAACAAACATTATTCAAACTATTTGTAATTTATTATTATTAATATTTGGTATTTATTAGTATTTATTCTATTACTATGGATACAAATATGGATATATATGCCCACAATCAATGTGTATTTGTTTTGCAGTATAATAGTGAGAGAACTAAAGGCACCAAGTTTATAGTTGAAGTTGTGAATAACGAGTTGTAGCTTTAAACAATGTGATTTCATCTTCAGGGCAGGATTTATTTAATTTGTTAAAATGCACTTTAAATTCTAAAAACATTAGCTCAGATAATTGTGTAGATGTTTTTGAAAAAAAATGTTGATTGAAAAAACCAAGAATAATGACATAAAGCAATTTGTATATGTGAAAATTCTATTTGCACTTTATGAAATTTCTGTTTCTGATGATATTTCATCAGTAGTTAAGAAGTGTAGCTCAAAGGTTAATGTTGACTTACCCTTTATGAAATAGTATTAACAGCAATTTTTGCAATGATATTTTTGCAAATATTTAAGTTTACTACTGCTCTATCTGATTACCTACAAACATCTGGTCTAGATTATATTCAAGCATGGAGAAAAATTGATGGAACAAAAAACTTCAAATAAAAAAACCAAAAAGAATTTTTACCAGTCAATGAATGAATTTTTACCAGTCAATGAATATTCAAAGTTATGTTCAAAGTTGATAATAAAACCAAAAAGAATTTTTACCAGTCAATGAATGAATGAAATGAATTTTTATCTAATGTAATTAGGGAAGATGAGTCAGACATTGATATACAATTAGAGCTTCCTGAAAAGAAAAAAAAAACTATTCCAAAACGTTATGAAGAAAATTCAAGTACTAACCAAAATGTTGGAGATTGAGATACTCTTGAAAATATTTGTAAAATCAAAACATTTAACATAGTTGTTGATAATAATATTGCTTGCTTAGAATGTAGATTTTTAGGCTGTAATGAACTTTATTATGATCTTGAGCTATTTGATCCATAAAGGTTTAAAGAAATTGCAAAAAACTGAATTCATTATGAAGCTATTTATAAAGTTTGCGAACTTTTACCTCATATTGATAAACATAAACTAGGAGAAAAATTATTATCGTTTGTGAAATTCTGGCCTCAAATATCCAAAATTGATATTTTAATATGTATATGATGCATATCATAACCAAAGCAATAAGATTCAGACCTTAAAGATTTTGAATACTCTCAGAAAAATGATAATAATAAGTGTACAAGAAAAAAAAATGTAACTCATGTTTATTATGCCTAACAAATATTATTGATGAATTAACAAAAAGTATTCTTCAGAGCATAATGAATTATTTGAAGAATACAAGTTTACACACTAAGAATACACTGTTTGAAATATTTAAGTTTCTTTTAAGAAATCCTCTTGCTCAAGTAATGTGTGAACAATTGTTTTTAAAATTATGAAAGAATTAAGAAGTTATGTTTAACACAAAAGAAGTTATGTTTAACACAGAAAAACTTGGAATCATTGCTTTTGATGAACTGTGAAAGGCAATTGTTGGCAGATGCTACACCAGATTATGTCATTGACTTAATGTGTGAAAGAAGTACCGAAATATTAAGAATATTGAAAGTTTAATTTTTAAACAATTTATTGAACTATTTCAACTATTTGTTTGTTATTTCTTCTGTAATAAACTATTTTTAATAACATACTATTCATATTTTATAATTTATACTACACAATCAAGATCACTTGAATAAAATGAACTATGTTAAAATTGTTGTGTAATTTTTTTTTTTTTTCAGAACCTTAAATGTAGATTTGGTTTATTATTTAGGTTTATCCTAAATGTATTTTTTTTTCTTTGTGTAAGAAATGGGTAAAAAAAGAAATGACAACCTGGCTATTATTATAGGTATACATTAAACCCATTGCTATTAGTAAGTAAAGGACTACATCCTACTGATTGTATAGAACTTTATCATACAAAGACTTACTTTAGTGTAAAATAGAGTATCCAAAGAAAATATTATAATTTGTTTGTGAATAAAAACAAGTATTTACATATTTTTGTTTTTCCTTTCTTGTTTAGTGCTTGCACTTAGGTCAAAGTGTTTTTAGCAGAACAAAAAGAAAACAATTTGGTGCTACACTCAAAACCTATTTTTTATGAAAAATAAAGAGAAGCCATGGGTCAAACATATTTTTTCTGTTATATTTAAGGTCAATAAGTACAAAAAAATTTGAACCTGATAGGTAAAAAAAAATTTGAACTTGATAGGTAAAAAAAAATTAAAGACTTCAAAGGGTTAGTGTGATAATTTATTTTTTAGCACTAGTAATGCTTCTTAGTACTACTAATGCTTCTTTTTTACTTTTTATTTTAGCATAAATCATACACTAGTTAGTACAAATCATACACTAGTAGTCAATTACACAATGCTAGTAAATACTTAAGCAAATAAAAAGAAAAGTACAACTTGCAACTTTACAGAGTAAAGGCTTCTTATTTAAAAAAAATGAAAATCCCTGATTGCCGATTGCCTTGAATATTAATACTGTGTATGTTTAAATTTTTTTTGTTTATAATTTTTCCTTTATTCTCCTTTTTTTTTTTATAGCTTAATGTAACAATAGCAAATATTTTGAACGTTACAAAGGAATTAAATAGCATTATTCAAAATGGTAACCTAACATCCAATTTTGATATTAAATTGATTTCAACCATTTTAAGGAATATTATTAGTGTCAACTCTTCTTCAGAAAATGTGAGTATATTCTTATTAAGTATTAAATTAGATTTTACAACATATATAAATATATATATATATATATATATATATATATATATATATATATATATATATATATATATATATATATATATATATGTATATGTATATGTATATATATATATATATGTATATGTATATATATATATATATATATATATATATATATACATAAATATATACATATATGTATATATTCTATTGAGGTATATAATTAAATTTTTTTAGGTAACCAATGGTGTTTTATCATCAATTAATAGCTTGTTAAGTTCAAATTCAAGTTTAATTCAAAGTGCAAATCAGATTTATAATTCATCCACTGAGTTTTTAGTTTTATTAGATGTTTTGGGAAAGCAGCAGAGTAATAATGTTAGTATATCATTAAAAAACTTAGGGTTGACATCATATTCAATCAAACCAAATGGTAATCCTGTTTATGTTTATTCTACAGAATACAATGATAAAGTTGGTGTTAACATATCAAGTGATGATTTTGATGATGAGTTAGAAGAGTTTAACAATTATATAGTCCTTCCTTCACAATTGTTTATGGGTGAAAATAAAGTTCAAGTTTATTCATATATTTACAAAGAGAGTTCTTTTTTCACAGAAGTAAATAAAACCATAGAAAGTCTCATTCTTTCTGCTTCTTTAAATGGCATTGATGTTAAAGACTCCAGCAGTTTAATTGATATAAAGTTTTCCAAGCTTTCAGGTGTTTCAGAGACTGAAAAATCAGGCAGCGTAACTTGTAGTTTTTATAAAGTAAAAGGTTTGTTTATCAAAATTCTTTTGTTTTTATCAAAATTCTTTTGTTTTTATCAAAATTCTTATGTTTTTTTATCTAAATTCTATTGTTAGATTTCTTTTATATTTTTGAACAATTATAATTTATTTTTTTAATACATGTTTATAGTTTAGTTTTTTTTTTATGGCATGTTATGAATATATTTATATTAAAAACTATTATGAATATATTTATATTAAAAACTATTATGAATATATTTATATTAAAAACTATTATGAATATATTTATATTAAAAACTCTTATGAATATATTTATATTAAAAGCCTGTTATGAATATATTTATATTACAAACTATTATGAATATATTTATATTAAAAACTATTATGAATATATTTATATTAAAAACTATTATGAATATATTTATATTTAAAACTATTATGAATAAATTTATATTAAAAACTATAATGAATATATTTATATTAAAAACTAATATGAATATATTTATATTAAAAACTATTATGAATATATTTATATTAAAAACTATTATGAATATATTTATATTAAAAACTATTATGAATATATTAAAAACTATTATGAATATATTAAAAACTATTATGAATATATTAAAAACTATTATGAATATATTAAAAACTATTATGAATATATTAAAAACTATTATGAATATATTTAATAATTATGATTATGATAATAATCTTTTTTCAAATTCATTTTCTTTTTAAATAAAAAAAGTAGTTTTTATTGCAGTTATAGAAATTAGTTCTACACAACTGAGTAACCAGTTTTATACTTCTTGACTGAGTAACCAGTTTTATACTTCTTGGTTTTGTTTCTGTATTAGAATACATAGTATGCAGAGTTTTTAAGCGAAAGGTTATGTAAAGTTAAAGAAAAAAATTCTTTTGAAAGTTTATTGACAGGAAATTAACTTTTTTTGTAACAAATAATCATTCTGAAATATAGCATTTTGCAAGTTGAATTTCGAAATAAATATAGCATTTGTGAAATGAGCGCTTTTGCTAAACAAAATTTGATATTTGCTATAAAAATTTGTTTTCTAAAACAAATTTTCATAGCAAATATCAAATTTTGTTCAGCAAAAGCGTTTTTTTTTTTTTTTTTTTCATCTTTATATACCAAAATATAATTTAATATTATTTGTAATCAAAAAAAATTCAACAATTAACCTTTTAAAATAATGATAGAAAATAAAAATTTAAGTCGAAATAAAATCTTTTGCAAAAGTAATTTTTGGAAAAAAAATTATGAAACATGTCATTAAAGATGTATTTAATTATATTTTATGAACCAAAACTATAATTAACTAAGTTACTAAGTGTTATTTATTTATTGATACTTGTGTCAAATGTGTATACATATTTTTATAAATAACAACATTGATTATATATACTATGTCATTTAATGAACAAGAATTAAATAATGTAAATAACACAAATAACACAAAAGAAAGTTTAAAGCAACAAAATCATATTTATGGGATAATGAGCAAGTAATTAATGACAAATTTTCAATCTGTCAACATTTCAAAAAAAATATCTTAAAGAAAGCAGTAAATGGAAAATAAAATAGTCTGGCTAATTTAACAAGCAACATAACTGTGGCATTTAAAATCTGCCCATAATATATTATGTTTTGTTTTTTTTAATACTTGTAATTTCTTATGTAGATGTTGATCTAGAAATAAATTTAGGCGGACAAATCCTTAAAAAGTACCAACTGGTTTCTTAATAAAAAACAAAGTTTCTAAAAACTTGAAATTGCTTAATTAAAATGTGTCAAATGCCCGACTAACAAATTGCATTCCTCAAAAAAAAATGACTATAACTTAAATTTCACCTTCTTTGATTTGCTGATTGCTTAATTACATAAAACTTTGAGTTATGCATAAAATAAAACAAGTGTTGTAATTGTTTATTTTTTAATATATTTGCTACTATACATACATATATGTGTGTGCGTGCTGTGGCTATTAGGTCTGAGCCCAACTCCCTCCAACTCCATAAGAGCATAATCCCCTGTTGTAACCTTAACAGAAAAATAAGATTTCCGAAATTCGTTAGGCTTCATTAAGTTCTAATGATTTTTAAGATGAGTTTAAATAAAACTCTATGTTTACATAACACTTTGTTAATCTTTTATGAAGCAGTTTATATATTTTGTTGCATTTAACTAATTTATTTGAGTGTATATCATTGCTTGTTCTTTGCAAAATCCCAAGAACATATAACATAGACAAGTCAATATTGTGTTTTTTCTGTAATTTTCATATAATTAATGGATTTTTGTACTAAAACGTTTTTAGCCATATTTCCATTCTCCAATCATACTTTGCCAAATCGTTATGACAAAATATTAGAATTAATGTATTTTTCATCACCATATTTGTACTATGAATGTTATGGTAGTCATATGACAGACAGTTAGAAAAGTTTATCTTCTTCATTTTAGTTTAACCTTGATTTAAGTTGATAAATGATTTATAAAATTGCAATGCAAATTAAATAATCATATATCTAGCTTTCTGAAACTGTAAATAAAATAAAAAATAATCAGCAGAAGCGATAAGAGAAACCCTAGAGACTAATAAATTAGTAACACAGTAGTTACCATGAGAAGCAAATATTTCCGTTTCTTTGAGTTCTGGGTGTTAAACCCATGGCTATTGAAAACTCCTACATTATATTTCATAACTCTATTAATAAGTTTATTTTAATCCTATTTCTAGTAGGAGAGTTGCACAAGAAGAAGTAAAGAGAGGGAATAAAGTTTCATGTGCAAGTTTAAACTTGGTTTAAGTTGTTATTCTATTCTATATACCGTTAAAAAAATGATTCTAGAAGAAGTTCAATTAAAGTCCAAAAGAAAAAAAATTGTATACCACTACAAAGCAACAATAAGAATATTTAAAAAATGTTTTGAGATTTTAGTACCTTTAGGTTTGCATTTTTGCATTAAGTTAAAAGATTTAACTCCTAGGTTATTCATGTAATACATCATGCATCATGCATTGCTCATAGTTTTACATCAAACTGCATACTTATTTAAAAAACGACTATTTCTGAGATATCCCACAATTATTTGGAGGTGAAGTTTAAAAATTAATTAAAAAGTTTAGAATTATTAGTTTTACTTTTTAAGCTTTTTTTGAAAAAGTACTTTTTATATGTTTATCGAAATGTTATCCAAATAGCTTATTTCTATTAAACAGAAAAAACCTGGTCTTCTGATGGATGCAATATTGTCCGTATGTCTTCCATGGAGATAATATGTCAATGCAATCATTTAACAAACTTTGCAAAAATATTAAATGTTTATCAGTCAAATGAAGAATCACTTGGTCTTGAAGTTGTTACATGGATTGGTTGCGGATTATCAATTGCGGGATTAGTTCTTACAATTGTTAGCTATTCTGCTTTTCCGTGAGTTTTTTTTTGTTTTTTTGTTTTTTTCTTTCTATGAATTTTTTTAATAATTTTAATGTAAACATATTTAGATTAGTTTCAAAACAAAAAAAAGCTTTTTATAAGCCTAATGTGATCCAGGTATTAATAAAGTCAGACAAAAAAATACAAGAGATGTTTTTAAAAGAAGTTGCTAAATTAAATGAATTTTGAAATATATCAAATTTTGTTGTTCTGTGTATTGATTTCTACATTTTTGTGTGCATATTAATTTGATAAGGATGATCATTAATAGATAAAAACAATCTAAACCAAGTTCTATACAGTTTTGTTTTAAAAATCTAAAATAAGTTTTCACTAATTTGTTTTTAATTAGCTCTTTTCCATTTGTCATAGAATATGTATGTATATATGTTATACTGCTGAGTTAGGTGAGCATGATGATGTCATACTTACCTAACATCACTAGCCTGCTGCCGGGGGCTTCAGTACAAACATCGACTGACAAATAGCCTGACTCGCAGGGGAGTGCTGCTACATCGACTGAGGGTTTGGTATGGGTCAGCAACCTTTTCCTTCATTATTCTTCATTTTCCCTCATCGTTTTATAAAAATGCTCACTTAATTTAGGCTAGCAAAAAAAGTGAGCAATTGCGCATATAAATATGCTATAGTAGATATATATATATATATGCTATAGTAGATATATATATATATATATATATATATATATATATATATATATATATATATATATATATATATATATATATGTATGTATTTATATATATATATATATATATATATATATATATATATATATATATATATATATATATATATATATATATATATATATATATTTAATTGCTATTGTATATATATATGTATATATATTTTTAATTGCTATTGCTATGTTATTTTTAAGCTCATTGCGGCAGAAACTGGCTCCAAAAATTCTTATTATTTTGTGTACAAACTTATTGTGCACTCTTGTTTTATTCCTTGCTTTGGTATCAAAAACAGAACCTCGTGGTTTGTGTCAGACTGTTGCTTCATTGTTGCAGTTTTTTATTTTGTCAACATTCTTCTGGATGGCAATAGAAGGATTTAATTTATATAAAATGTTTGTAAAAGTGTTTGGTGGATCATCTGACTCCAATAAATTTTTGCTAAAAGCATCAGCGTTTGGATGGGGTGAGTTTCATGCTATCACATTACATATTTAAGATATTGATTAATCTTCAAAGAACTGTTTTGATATGTATAAAATGTTTATAAAGGCTTTCAAAAACGTTATGTGTTATATAGACTTTTTTCATTTATGTGTAATTTTATTTACTCTATTTTTCTTTTCATTTCATTAACTCAATTTTTGCTTATTTTTTTATAGGTATACCACTAATATTTACAATTGCGACTGCAGTAAGTAAACCTGATTACTTGGGCCCTGGTCCAGGTACAATCTCTGAAAAAGACTCAAAGTTGTAAGCAAAGTATTATTTTTGAAACCAAATGTCTATTACTTTAAACACTGAAATTTTGTATTTATTATTTTTTGGTTTAGGTGTGTTGTTCGTGGTTTTTCATTTTATTTTGGTATACTTTTACCTGTCTGCATAGTAATGGCATTTAATATTGTAATACTTTTATTAACTATCAGAGGTATTGATAGCAATGCTAGTCTGCAGAATAAGATGAAGAGCATAAAGAAAGTTCGAATTGCTTTTGCATGCTCCTTATTGCTTGGCACAACTTGGTTATTTGCAATTTTAGCTGTAGGAAAACTTAAAGTTGCATTTCAATGGTTGTTTTGTATTTTTAATTCTCTTCAAGGTTTCTTTATATTTCTGTTCTATACTCTTGATAATAAAAAAGTTAAAGAACAATGGGTGTCATTTTTGTATGAAAAATGTGGCTGGAGGTCAAAATCGTTTGAGATAAGTAAGTCAAGATTGTTTTTGACAAAGAGAATAATTGTAATAATATAATAAAAATTAGTTACTAGGTATATTACAGGGATTGTCCTTTTCCGGATATATCTGGTATTCTGGATATTTTATATATATATATATATATATATATATATGCATATGTATATATTTGTATAACATATATATATATATATATATATATATATATATATATATATATATATATATATATATATATATATATATATATATATATATATATATATGCATATATATATATATATATGCATATATATATATATATATATATATATATATATATATATATATATATATATACACACACACACTCAGCAAAAATTTTATAGTTCCATGTAGTTTTTGCAGATTTTATGCAGAACGCGTTTTTAAAATTAACCACAAAAATTTTCTTTATTAGACCTATTGCAAATTGTTTTAGAAACACATAAAATGTGTTTATGACAATTTTATGTGTTTCTAAAACAATTGAAACTAAATTTTCTAGAATGTTTTTAAAATTGGTATATATACAGGCGAAATTTCCATAGTTCCATTAGTTTGTTTTGAACACTTAATAAGAGTTAATTGAAGTTTTTTGTAGTTTTAATTAAGATTTGTTATTTAATTATTACAATGCCACGCGGAAAGGTGTTAAATGAAGAAGAAAAAGCAAAAATTGTTGCTTCCATATATTTATTTTCTATCATGTAATGGATGTGATGGAAAAACAACATTGGTAAAACTAATAACCCAGAATTAAGAACTAATCTACATATCTACACATGCAGAACAGGTATTGGTTTAGATGAATTTGATCAGCATGTTTTTATTTGTCACAAAAATAAACCTTTTTTTTTAATTAATTAGAAAGTTAAAACTCTGAAATGAGAATTTACTTATTATCTATGAAGCTCACCTACATAAATAGGGACATGACACAATGAACATATAAACAGAAAAGTAATTTTCACATTACTTTAAAAACTTCCTTACCAATAAATATTAAGTTATGCTATTTTATTTATACAGTTTTTTTATATAAATCTTATTTCCTTCCCATTTTAAAAATTTTTAATATAAATCTTAATTCCTTCCCTTTTTTAAAAATTTTTAATAGGAAGTTCAATATAAAGAGGTTTTTATAGTTTTGTAAATCTCATACACATCTGAAAATTTTATATGAAAGGCCTTCTGTGTTTTTGAAAAAAAATTAAAATGTTTGTCAAAATTTATCTAATAGATACTTTACTCATCATAGTTTGAATAGTTTTCCTTTTGTTACCTGGAACTTTTACTCATATTTGTCAAAAATATTTTTGCTAAATATATATATATATATATATATATATATATATATATATATATATATATATATATATATATATATATATATATATATATATATATATATATATATATATATATATATAAATTACAATTTTTGGTAGCAACATCATCTCATGTCAAATATACGTGATCCAATATTCGCTAATTGTCAAATTTAGATAGTAAATAAAATTTTCCTAGCCCTTTTTTTTAATTCTGATCCAAAAAGACTGCAAACAACTACTATTAAGTTGGGAGTTACTAGAAAAAAAGAATATAGTTATAGAGCAAGGAAACGGTTGACAGAAGCCTTTTGTTGATGGTTAAATGAGTCAGGAAAATATAAAAATGAGAGAATTCCAAAGGGTTGAAGTGCGGGGGAAAATGCTAAACGAATAAAAGTTTTTAAAGCATCCAGGGACAGATTCATTAAAAAATGAGACTGATGCATGACGAGTCAGGCGAGAATAAGTGTTGGTTGATGAAACTAGAGATAAAAACTGAAAAAAAATACCTTCAAAATATGATCGCTTCATTATCGTTGCTCCTTTGAGCAGTGATCATGATATTATTTGTAGAAAAGAATAAAAAATGCAATTTTACGATGATGGGAAAGAGGGTGGAGGTGGGAATGAAAGGAATGGGAATTTTATAAAAACTGTTGTTATGTTGCAACCAAGAATTAATTAATTATTTAATCATTACATATAAATATACATATTAATTAATGAAATATTATTTAATGTTATCATTTTTCAAAACATTAGTTGTTAAAAAGAATTCTAAAGAATTAGGATAATCTTAGTTTGTTAATTTGTTTTCATAATTTTTTTGAAGGTATTTATTTTCAATTTAATTTTAAAGTTAATTTAGATTTTTTGATTAGTAAAGTTTCTTGTTCCATATGGGTAATAATTTTAAAGTTCTAAAAGTGTTTATGAAGAAAAAAGCATCTCTTGCCATTCTACATTAAATAGTGTTCAAGATTTAAAAAAATATAATAGGAAAAATCGTTTTCACAGCCAAATTTTTTTTAATTACTATTTTCTATACTTCGTCAGCACATATACCATGTCATACAGTTTTTCTCTTGATTTTTTAAAGTAAGATAGTGAATACTATTTTATGTAGACTGGCAAGACTTGTTTTTTAGAAAAGTTCAATATCTGGCAAAAATATCCGGTATACTTCTAATTTTTATATGCGCTTTTATTCATTCTTATATGCGTGTTTATTCATTTTTATATACGTTTTAAAAAAGCAATTTGAATTTTTTTTTTTTTAATTATTCTTATATATAGTTTTAAAAAAGCAATTTGAACAAAAAAAATCATTTACATGTAAGCAATTTGTTTTGAAAAACAATTTATTTTTTCAAAACAACGAGTTTAAAAATACTTAAGATTAAGACTTTTTACATTCGATGATGGTTTTAGTATTAGGTCTTTGTTTAATTTTATTATTTAATTTATTGATTGATTAAATTATTATTTAGGGCCGATAAAACGGTGCACAATTGTCAATTTTTAAAAAAAGTCTTCTATATCTAGAATTTTCTTTAACAATAGTTAATAAAAAGGTCCAATAGAAAAAAAAAAGGGGTGGGAGTGCCCTCTAGCCCCCTCACCACCATCTTCCCGGTGTAGTCGACCCTGTTATTTATCTAAATAATCATTTATCTAGATTTAAATTTAATTATTTATGATTATTAAATAAATTTAGCGCTGGCTCGGTAACCATTTTTTAAATAAATTGCAGTGACACCAACCTAATTTATATTTTAAGTATATCTATATAAAAACATAAAAACTTATTTATAGTTTATATAAAATTATATTAGAATTTTTATGGGTAGTTGACTCACATATAAACGCGCATAAAAGAATGAATAAATGCGCATATAAAAATGAATAGACGTGTATTTAAGAATGATTAACCCTCTAATGATCAATACAAGATTATGGCCTTTATCATTCTTATTAATCTAAATTTTAACTGTACAGACAATATTATATTTTCTGTACAGTTAAAACTTACATTAATATAAATATACAATACTTTATTACTAGGTTTTTTATAATGTTTATGAAAATTTTCCCAAAAGTTAAATGTAAAATTCTTGATATTACTTTTAAGAAAATTTTTAAAATAGTGTTTATATATGCCAATGTTTTTTAAAATAGTGTTTATATATGCCAATGTTTTTTAAAATAGTGTTTATATAAGCCAATGTTTTTTAAATTAGTGTTTATATAAGCCAATGTTTTTTAAAATAGTGTTTATATAAGCCAATGTTTTTTAAAATAGTGTTTATATAAGCCAATGTTTTTTAAATTTTAATAATATTTTTCTGATTTTTTCAAGATCGGCCAATATATAAGAAAGAGGCTCGAGGCTGGTCAACAGAATTCTGTTGACCAGCCTCGAGCCTCTTTTAATTATTCTCCTTAATTATTTTGCTTACGTAACTCCAACAAAATTATTCTGCGTTTCAAGTTTCCGATATTTGAAACACTTAGTTTTAAGATATATACATTGAATGCCAACTTTATTTTATAGTAAAATACTCGCCTTTTTTCATTTTGCACTATTTATACAGCATATATGTTCATATTATTAAAACTCGCTTGAGTTTTATCGTTGCACAGTGACCCAGATTAACCTAAAAATGGCAAAAAGTCCGGAAAAAAAAGTGAAAGTTTTATCGTTTTAATACTTAAAATGTTAAAGTAAACTACTTTTTAATCTAAAATCAACTTTAAATAATTTCATAGATATTATTATTGTGTAATTTTAAATGGATATATGTGTAAAAAGTTAAATTTAACACCATAAAATTATGAAAATTTAAGGTATGGTTATCTTGTAAGCAATCTTGTTTTCCACCTCCATACAAAACTTTATTATTGTTTTTGTTAAAGTAATAAGTGTCTAGATATTTAAAATTTATTTACTTTTTTTTTTAGATTAAAAAAACAAGTTCTTTTTAATTTTTCTTTTAAAATTAAAATTTTAGTACACAAGTTTAGTACATAAGTGCCAGCTAAAAAAAAGTGCCACGTTGTTTCACGTTCACTTTTAGTGAAACAAAACCATTAAACTATAGCAAAGTAAACCCTACAGTATTTGCTGCAACTTCCTGCTCCTTAAGGAGATATTTTAAATTGATTCATGCATAGTTTTGTAAAATGCAATAATTACATTATCTTCTGGGTACCATATTGATGGTAATTAATTTTAAGTTTATTGTACTGATACAGCTAAAATTATAGTTAATAAATATGGTTGGTATATAATGCCACTCTTTGATCACAAAATTCTGATACATGGTTGTTCCATTTCAAAGCAATTTGATTTGCCTATTGCTCAATACTCTGAGGAAGCTCAAAAAAGTCTAAACAAACAAATCCGAAATGTAAGGTTGCATCGTACAACAAAAATATCAAGAATTAACACAATGAAAGATCAGATGCACTACCTTTTGATTAGATCGGATCCAAAAATCTCAAGCATTTCATTTGTAAAACACAGGAGTTATCAAGTCAGAACTTTGCCTCCAGATGTAGTGAACTTATTAGTAATTTAAATTGTAAAAAAAAATTATTATTTTGACTAGTTTATTTTTGTATTATAGATTGCGTTAAAGACTCATAACGCGTCTGTGCGCGTAATTTAGTATTTAGTAAACTCGCGCGCGTTAAACGCGTGTGCGAGTGTTAAACGCGTGCGAGAGCGCTTGTGTAATAATAAAATAATGGTATAATTTCAATCAAGGAAGCTAAGTTTTTTACTAAAAATGTTATTTACTAATATAAAGTCCTCTAACGCGCGTTTTGACGCGTACATGTGCGTTAAACGGGTAACAAGTGCATGTGAAAATAATTTTAAGTTACTAATTTGAATTCTTTGACCCCTCAAACCCCTATTTGGATGCATAGTGTAAGCTTAATGAACATGTTATTAATAGTTAGGTAATTTTTGCCGCTTTTAAATCTGGGTCACTGTGCGTTGGCGTATTAATAAAAAAATTTAATTTTCTGGTAAACAATATTGATGGTTCTGGTGGTTTTAAATGTTTTTTTTAACATCGGTTTTGACAAACAAAGTATATAGAGATATAGTTTATAGGTTTTTAAAGATTTTTCTCTCTATATATTTTTTATTTATATATTTTTTAACTTCTTGAACTATTTTAAGAGTATAACTTAATATAAGACCAATAGTTGGAGATTCTTCCTGCATATAAGTTATATAGTGTAACTTATATCTAGGAAGTGCCCTGGAAATTGTTTTTAAAAAGTCTTAAAGAATGTCGATAAATATCTTTGTTTGAAATTTTACTTTTTATCGGTTTATTTTTTTAAAACAAACAATGAGTAAAAATTTGAAAGTTTCAGAAATTTAAAAACTTTTTTGATGCACTTTAATTGATTTTTTTTTTTTTTTAGCAAACGTGAAACAAATTAATACAGATTCGGGAAATTCTACATTGACATTGCAAATGAATACATTATAAAATACTAGCTAGTATGTATTACCAGTTCTACGCTTCACTAATTTCTTCTGCTAATTCCGTTTTAAAATTTGCGATATATTTAGCATAGTAAGGATTATTTTGAGAAATTTGCGATAAATTAAGCTTATAAATCGCTTTGTTACATCTATATATGATCACGAAACAATGATGTTGAGAGATTAAACAGTTTTCTTCTTGAACTGAAAACCTTTATTCAACTGTTTTTATTTTTCATATTATTAGGTGTGTTAAAGTGCTACTTTTATATGTAGTTTAGTTAATCAACTTATTTCATCCTTGCGTTTGACACGATTATAATTAGGTGAATTTATTTTAGCTTTCGTGTGACACTGATCAAAAACAAATTTTGTTGAAGCACGTGCGTCTATGATTTTAAACAAATTTTGTTATTTTTGAAATTATTCCTAATTATTGCAAAGAGTTAAAGAATTTTTTTATATATAGAAAATTTAAATATATATTTTTTTAAATATACATGGTATCTATTGCACCATAAATAGGGTATTTAGGCTATTTTTATAGCCAATAAAAATTTTGTTTATGTTAAATAAATTGCATTCCTTATGATATTTAAATTTCAAAATGGTTTCAACACACATCTTTAGCTTATTTAGTTCAAAAGATATGGATGTTTTAATATTTTCAATACTCGGACTTTTGAAGAAATATTTTCATTAAGTATCGCGTTAATTTTTTGCACCAAAAATTAATTTTTTTTTTTTTTTTTTTTTTTTTTTTTGTGTAAAATTTATCTGCAATAAAATTTTTTTTCCAAAATTCGTTTAGAAATAAGATATGAATCTATATTATTTTAACAATTCATTAATATAATTTTTTTCGGTGTTTTGCAAACACGGACCATTAACTGATCAATTAACATTAAAATATGTTTTTAAAATTTTTGAAGATTTTAAACAATAAAAAATTTAATGTTTAAATATTTAAAATGTTATATGATTCATATAAAACAAAACATTTCAAAAAAACTAAATTGAACTAATTTTTGTTTGAATTTTTTTTAATGCATTATTAAGTGAAAAACTCAGATCCAATACCTAAAGATAACATATTATGTAAAATTTATTTTAGCATAAAAAAAGTTGTCAGCAACAAAAAGTTTTCATTTATATTTATATATATATATATATTTATATATATATATATATATATATATACATACATACATACATACATACATACATACATACATACATACATACATACATACATACATACATGCATAAATTAGTAAAAACACTTATCTAATTTTTTTCTTCTACAAACTGTTTCACAATCAGTAGATTCATCAAGAAGCCAATGCATTATTAATCCTTCCTGATGAACCTACTGATGGTGAAACAATTCGTAGAAGAAAAAAAATTAGATTAGTGTTTTTACTAATTTATTATTGCTCAGTTATTTAAGAACATTGATCAATCTATTAGTAGAATACACAAACATAATTTATATATATATATGCATATATATATATATATATATATATATATAATATATATATATATATATACACACACAAATGTAATTCTAACTGACATACAGTACTTATTTCTACATCTTCTTGTCTTCAAAAATGTTTAAACAAAGTTTTTCTTTACATTTGTACACAATACTATTCAACTACAGAGAATGAGTGTCTTTCATTGAAAGACACTCCTTAAAAGTTTCAAGGATTTTGTATAAAAAACAATGAAGTACAAGATTATTTTATAAGAAATGCAAATAATTATCACTTAAAAAGCCAGAACAAGAAAAGCAGACTAAAGTCTATCTTTTGCAATGGGATAAAGTTGTACAACAAATTGCCAAATGAATTTAAATCTCTTGACATAAAAGGATTCAAGAATCAAGTCGTGAAGCTTTTAAAAGAAAAAGGTTATGTACTATTTTTACAATGATTTTAAATAGCTGTAAACAGGCTGATCATCATCATCATCATTACTTATTACTTTTCAGTAAGTAAATCTACTATAAAACTGAAAAAAAAAATTTTCAGTAATCCTTCTTTTTAATATATTGTTAATAAAAAAACCTATACAACAATTAAAGCTAGATATATCGCCCTAATTATTATATATCTATATTTTTATACAAGTAAAGACCATCTACATACACATTTTTTTTCCACATAAAAAAATAGTCTAAAGCATATATCTTTGAGTGCACTTACTAATGTTAGTATAACGGGGGCAATTTTACAAATCACCAGTTGAAAAACGAAAAACCCATCCTAATTAACCATAAGAAAAAAAATTAAAAATACATGCATATTATTAATAAACAGTTGCAGAATCTATATTCATCTGAAGACGGATAAATTATCTAATTTAACTGGTATTTTAACAAAGTTAAAATCATTTAAAAGTAAACAACTTTTTAATTTCAAAAGTAGAATATCGTCTTCACTTAAATAATTGTTCTACATTCTTTTCTAAAAAAAAAGATACCAAAACATGTATTTAAATTTGAAGTTTTTATGGGTGGGTTTTCATTTTTTGACACCTAACTAAAATCGTTTCATTAATTTTTTTTGGACGAAGTTTTTAAAAAACAAACTACGTTTTTTTCCGCAATAAAAAGTCACGTGACTAAATTTTATACCATGAATAACACGATAATCTAACATTGTAAAGGTTTTTAGAAGACTTTCATAATAAGGCTTTTTTTTCTTAATATGTTTTATGAAACCTACTTTTTAAACATAATTTTAGAACTCTATCAAAGTTTTACATAGGAGAAATGTGAGATAAATGCTAACTATATGACAGCCACGTTTATTTTTATCTTTATTTTTATAAGAATACTTTGTTATTAAATTATTCTCTGTTGTTTTACTGCTATTAATTTTTTTTTTTTTAATTTCTGCGTACAAATTGAAATGCGTGAAATGTAACCTATAGATTTAAAGATAAGAAAAGACTGAGCCTATCAAAAAGACTGAAATGTTGATTTTTTTAATCTGTCAAAAGTGTGATACTTTGAAAAGTTATAGTAATAGTAATACAAACTGCTGTAACGACGATTGTCGCGGAACATAAAGTTTAAAATTTATACTTTAACAGCCACTAACAAATGTTTATCTAATCTAGCTTTAAAAGAATTTACTGCCATTGCAGAAACCACTTTTTCAGGTAAAGCATTCCAATAAGGTATCACTCTGTTCGTAAAAAAATTATGTCTCGGTGTTGTTTTTGCATATTCTCTATCAAATTTCATTGGATGATCAAATTGGCTCGAAGTCTCTGGGGAGAAGCTGTATTAGGCTCTTTATACCACAATATCTTATCAATCCTAGTTGTTGATTTTTGTTGATTTTTTTAATCTATTAAAAGTGTGATATTTTGCGCAGTTGTATTGACATGATTATACAATAGCGCTGTGACGCAAATCTTGATAAATAAAAATCGTTACAGTGCCGGATCAATGAGGGCCCCCCCTCCTTGATCCGGCACTGTTAGCGATTTTTATTTATCAAGATTTGCGTTACAGCGCTATAGTATAATACCAATATAATATATTCCCGGGGTTTAGCCCCGGGCTCTGCAAATTTAGGGGCCACTCAAAAATTTTAGAGGACCTTTTTTTTTTAAAAAAAAAGCTATTTTTAGGTACTAGCCCATAAAAAGGCATCTAAAAACAAAAATAGCCCCGGCCCACAAAAAGTCTTAATCCACTACTGATCGCTAATGTTGCAATTCTATTTTTATTTTTTTTTTCAATATATTTCGCTGTTTATATAAAAATAAAATAAAAAAGTTACAATGACAACTTTTACATTACATAAAGAATATATAAAACAGAGAGGGGCTCAAAGAAGATAAGGATGATTGGTGTCACCACAATCTTTTCTTTACAATATCATTTAAACCCATATCAGCGCTAACTAGTTCTTATTATGCCATATGCATGCTTGTGTTCGATATGACATCCATAATCTTTCAATAACTGAGTTCTGAAAAAAAAAGTATGGTCACTAAACCATATCAGTAGCATATATTATAGCTATTTACTATGGACCTGCCTTTCTTAAATTCACCAAAGCGAGCATAACGTTTTTAATAATTTAAATGTATTAAATATTTCTGAAACAATTCGAATGAAATAAGATTATAAAGTTGGAAAATCACTTTAGGAAAACATGAGTAACCACACATGGTCTCCTAAAGTTTTCATACTATTGCACTTTACGTCGCTCTAATACAAAATGAGATAATAGGCTTATAAAAAAATAAAACGGAATTCAGTTAAAAATATTTTTTTATTTTAAAGATATTTTGTAATCTTTTGAAGTATTAGCTAAATTATTTGTATTAAATTTCTTTTATATTTAATACTATTTTTATGCTATCTAAGAAAATAAACTTTACCTACTTGTTTATTTATTTAAAAAAAAAAAAAATTATTTGCCAATTAGAAAATAACTGTTATAAGTTATTATTTATATTATTATATAAGTAACATACAAACTTAAAATAATCATAATAATTTTTGTTTATTTTTTTGATTAACTTACATTTGTCGGGATAACTAAGTTGGTTAAAGCGCTGTTAAAGTTCTGATTTATCATTACCCGTTGCACCAGGATTGCAGGTTCTTAGCACCGCCTACTCAGCGTACCTGGGTAAAAAGAGAACTCGCCTCGTTTAGCCATGCAATGTTGCTTCATATATATTAAAAATACTAAACTTTTGATTGTAGAGAGTGCTCATTATTTAAAATATATATTTTTTTTCAAAAACAGAGCGTTTTATACTTAAAATTAACTTTTTCAGGAACCTAAAATTTCATGCCTGTTAGCAATCTTCAGCCTTAAAGTACAAAATTAAAATACCAAATAATCTTTTAAGTGGTAGATGTTTTTCATTATGCCATTGGTTAAAAATTACAATCCTGGCCGGATTTTTCGGCATTAATCTTTCTTATAAGCTTGACTGATAATTTGTCAAAATCCCCTCAATTGACAAAAGTGTCGACAAACCGTGGAAGAAAATCTGCATGTTTAGTGATTGATACAATAAAAAATATGAGAAATGATGACGACTTCCAATTGTTTTTTTCGAATTCAATCAAATCAATTGAAAAGCCTACCTTGCCGAGGTACCAAAAAAAGTCGATTATTTTCTTTTTAAATATGTCATTGATTACGAAAAATAATTAAGCAATGTCTATTACCCAGAAACAGCTGATGATTATTTTTTGCATTAATAATTGCGTCTCCTGACACAATTATTAATGCAATAGAA